CACTTTCTCAGACTTCAGTGACCCGTGCGACCCTGGGCTGTAAATCAGGCCCTTTATGTGCATTGACACATTCAGGCCACAGGGTTTACTGCTCCGACTTTGTTAGTAGTGGCGGGACGTTAACTGGATTCCTCGAGTTGCCTACCGCAGAGTACCGGGCAGCAAGCTCTGAAACAGTCCGATTCGGTATTAAACAGGAGAGCCCTGTCAGAAAGAGCCACTCGTCACAAGGTGTAAGGACAGTCGGTGTGGTGCTTCCGATGGAAATTGGTGTGGTGCCCGGGGGTAGAGACCTGGATTTCCTTCCACCTGGAACTGGTCAACTCTGTCACGCAGAGAAAGTCACTCACTCTCTCTGCATGTCTCCCCATTTGGAAAATGGAGACAATCATCCCTTTTCAACATACGTCTTAAGGCTTAAAAAAATATTAGGGTACCGTAAATAATATGATTGGAATACATATAATTAATATTTAGAGCTCTCTACGTATGTGCTAGATATTTTATAGGTGTGTATACAGACACACACACACACACACACACACACACTCATTCCTGGCAGCCATCCCGTGTGACGAGCTCGCTATTATTATCCACTCTTAGCTAATAAAACAGCTGAGGTTCTGAGAGGGTAAGTCCTAACTCGAGATCACACATCTAGTTAAATAGTCTGCCTGCTTCTGTCAGTAGAGGGAGAACCCAGCTAGACCCACACTTAGTAGCTAGTAAGCCTGGCACTCCTGCGGGCTCTAAGAGCTGGCCACATTCAGCCCGAGGTGACTGCAGGGTCTAAGGCAGGTAGAGTCCTTGGCTGATTGCATCAGGCTCTGAATTGCTTCATTTTGCATTAGGATACCTTCGGATTATCCCAGTGAGCCCTAGCAATACCATCATTCTTTCTATATCTCACTGCATAAAAAATATTGGTAGTTCTCCACACTAGACCGCTTTACCTCTTTGGACATCAGTTCGCGGATGCTTGACGACTTTAGCTGCCGAAACAGAAAGAGCCACGAAGCCATGTTCACCATCCTTTCTAACATCATCAAGATGCCTTCTAGTCTTAGATGGCAGATTAGCTCATCTTGTTGGGTTTGTTTGTTTTTAAATTTGTCTTTATTGTTGGAAGTATTGCAAATGTCCTTCCATTTTTTTCTTCCGTTGACTCCCTCCACCCTTCACCGCATTCTTGTCTGTGTCTGTGGGCTGTGCACATAAGTTTGTCTTGTTTGTTTTTGACTCCAGCGTGTGTTAGTCTATAGAGCTGGCCCAGGAATTTAGACAGCATGTTCTGTAACAGATGAGGTTTGGTTTTGTGTGGCTTGGGGGTGGTCAGCAGTTATGTCCTTCTTCACTGACAAGCCTGTGACTTGCTTTCTAGACTCCTCTGTGGCCAGTCAGCGTGCCTGGGCTGCCCTTTGTTGTGGATCCCATCCCACATGCATGGAAAGAGCTAAAATGAATAAAACAGTTTTAGTAACCACTTCAAACAAAGTGAGGGGGACAAGCTAAGGATCCCAGGGACAGCATTCCTTGGAGGTCTGTGAGTTGAGGTTTTGGTAGCTCTGTTTAGATTCCTGATTATTGAGCCAGAGGTTTATTTAATTATCACTTGAAGAGTTTCCAATGCCTGAATCTCAGTGGTGTGAAATCCACTTAGATCAGCTCTTACTAATCCCCCTGATGTACGGGGGCCTGAGATAGCTGCTGCCCCTGGCTGACACTTGATCCTTGTTGAAGGAAGTGATGATCATGCCAGTGCCCAGGGCTGGATGTCCTTAGGCAGGAGGGTGGTCATATTTCATAGCTGGTCTCTGTTCAGGCAGTATCTGGCTCCTTTCCAAAGCCAGCTTACTTCAGCTCTTTGTAGAAGATAAAAGAACATCAGCAAAGCACTGGGCTGTGAGAGGGGAACTCTTATAGTTACCAAGATTATTATTATGAAGCTCCTGCTGGAGGCACTTCTGATGCTCATAGTCACACAAAACTGGGCCTGGGGCAGTGGTTTCTGCTCCCTGTCTGTGACTTGGTCCTGGGCTGGCTAATGGCTACATAAGAGCTGTGTATGGAGCTTATAAAATACAGATCTGGTGGCCAGAGCAGGGCATGGGAACCTGTACTCTCTAGTTTAAGAAGCACAGTAGTCCTGGGACTGTCTCAATGGCTCTTAAAACAGTAGATTACAACAGCCTCCAAGTTTTTTTTTTTTTTTAATTTTTCTTAAAAGTCCAATTTTTTTGGCCACTTTACATAATTTTCTGACTCTGATGACCTTTACATCATACTGATATAATACAGCTTCCTGTTGCCCACCCATCACTCATTCATTTGACCACTTAACAGCTGTCAAGGATGGGCTGCCGGAACTATGGTAACATGATCAAGAGACACATGGTTCGAAGACGGAAAGAGTCTTTGGTCTGGTCAGGAGACAAGTGAACAATAAGCCAACTACTGTAGAACAATGTAATTGTTTGAACGACATTGCAATGGCAGCAGGTAGAATTTGCTGGAAAGTCAGGCAATGTGTCCTCGGGGAGAAACACTTTGTCTGGAGGGTGGACAGGGAAGAAGATGGTTGTCAGATGCCAGGTAAATACACGAGAAAGCGGAGAGAACATCTTTGCAAAGGCTTAGCGGCTGAGAGCCTGATGTGTGATGAGAACTGCAGTTTCTGGGTGTTGCCAGTGTCTACAGTACGAGCAAATCGTGATGGAAAGAGGGTGGACGTACTGACCACGTCCAGATCACAGGGGCTTGTAGGTCACGGGTTTCGGGAGTTTGACCGATGGACGCGTTTCCTTTCTCAGTGCCTCATTGATCTGTATCTTTTCATTTATTTTTTTGCATTTTTTATTAATTTATTTTTGTTACAGATGTTTTTCCCTTTCCCCCCCTAGACACCCTCCTCCTGATCCCAACCGCCCCCCCCCCCATGTCCATTGCTTATGCATACATGCATATAAGTTCCTTGGTTTATCTCTTCCCTCTTTCCCATCCCCCCCTCCTGAGGTTTGTCAGTCTGCACCCTACTACTATATTGCTGGGCCTATTTTATTCATCAGCTTATTTTGTTCATTATATTTCACAAATAAGTGAGATCATGTGATATTTGTCTTTCCCTGATTGGCTTATTTTGCTTAGCATAATACTCTCTAGGTCCCTCCATGTCGTCTCAAAGGATAAGAGATCTTTCTTTCTTACAGCTGCGTAGTATTCCATGGTATAAATGCACCACAGCATTGTTATCTACTCATCTATTGGTGGACACTTGGGCTGTTTACAGAACTTAGCAATTGTAAATAGTACTGCTATGAACATAGGGGTACATGTATTCTTTCTGATCTGTGTCTTTTAAAAATCCTCTTTCCTGACAGTATGGCATGATGCGATTTCTTATTCTCACGCAATACCTTGGAAACAGGAGAAACAAAGTGGTACTTCGCTTTAGCCTTCAGGGATCCCTAGTTTCACTTCTCATTTTCTGGCCCTGTTCACTTTTATTTTTGAAGCCAGAAGTCAGCTTGTGTGTGGGGCTTCCTTCCCCAGGAAGCCTGTGTCCTCTTTGAAAGCCAGCGCCTACCTCACCAACCTCCTGCCACGTCCCTCCTGGACCCCTGAGCTTCCTCCACGTTAAGAAACAAAACATACTCCTACCTCGGGCTTCTGCACATGCGGTTCCCTCAGCCCATAGTTCTCCATCCCCACCCCATCTAAACTGATCTTCCCAAAAAGGCCTTTCCCAACCTCTTGTTTAACAAGCTCTACCCCCCTATATGTTGGGACACTTATACATTTTATTTGTTTTGTTGACTTTTTTTTCTTTATTGCCAGACTTCCCCTTTAAGTTCTATAAAAGCTATGACCTGGCGTGACTCATTCACAGCTGTACCCTCCCTACCAATTTAATAATAAATATTAAATAAATATTTGCTGAATGAGTGGATGAATTGATGGAAGGATGGATGGATGGATGGATGGATGGATGGATGGATGGAGTCCTTACGTTGAAATCTTAACAAAATCCACCTACTCTAGTTCATGTTCTGGTTCAGTCAACCAGGTTCCTAAGACTTCTCTTCTCCCCCATAAACCTCACAGAGCATCACCCCTCTCTCGTGCAGGTGAGCACCCTTCCTTTACTGAAACCTGCGATCTCTACAGCTGACACCCATTGGCTCTTTTCTGACTTATATGTAAAAAATGTGTTTATATTTTGTTAATAACCTTGGAATCTACATGCATTTCTTCCGATTGGATCACTCCCCAAACTTCATCCAAGTTGTCGTTTTTAAACACTCCCCTCATAAGAAAAAGCAATTTTAAATAGTAAAAGCAATACAGAAATACATTTTAGAAGATGTGAGAAATACTGAGTACGATGAAGCAAATATGAACCCTGTATAATTTTTTCACCCTGAGTTAAATACTAGAGATATTTTGTCTTTTTTTTCCCCACAGAGTGGTTTTCTTATGCATTCCACAACTTTCGTGGGCACGTGTGCATATATGTGTAAGCGTCCTGAACTTGAACTATGACATGACGACCATGTCGTTGTAAAGACTTTAGAAGGCTGTTTCATGAGATGCTTGGTCCTAAGCTCTATCCTGAGAGTCACGTGGAGTGTGAGCAGAATACCAGACTGGGTGCTGGGCACCAAAGTCTGTGTTATCCCACTTTAAATACTGAGTGCTTACTGAAGCAGAAAAGATAATAAATAGAGTGTCTTCCCTCAAGTAGCTCTGTTTCTGAGTGGCTATGATAGGTTGCAGAAGCGAGAGGTGAAACTCCAGAATGGTTTGAATCAGGGGCAAATGAGAAAGACTGGATCCTCAGCAAACATACCCAGTTCAAATGCTGAGCGCATTGAGCACGCAGCTGTCTTCAGTAAACGTGTTCTTCCTGGACTTCCGGAGCAAGGAGCCGGGAAAACCTTGGCAGGCGGCTCTTCTATGCAGTGTTGACTGTGAGAGTGACTCGTGTTCTCTTTTTCCTCTAGAGTGACCGTCTGCTCATCAAGGGAGGCAGAATCGTCAACGATGACCAGTCCTTTTATGCTGATATTTACATGGAAGATGGCTTAATAAAGTACGTACATGGAACCCTTCTATTCATCTTTCTGGATTTAATCTCTTCTTCAGACAGGAGCTTGCTACTTTTTGCTCACTCCATGGATGGTTCCCTGTGTTTCGTTTCATTTCTTCTTAAAAATAAGACTTTATTTTTGCCCTTCAGTCTGGATGCACGTGATACTTCCAAAGTGGGAGCCAGCGTTAAGTTCACTTGGATTATATGAATGAAGTGAAAAGTCTGAGTTCGGTCAATGTGCCGATGCTCATTGTGCAAGCCGTACTCATGGGCATTCTCTGTGACCACTGTCCTTCGGGATACTCAAAAATGTGCACAAATTGTAGCATGCTAAAATAGGCACCCAAGTCTACGGCCATACCACCCTGAACGCGCCCGATCTCGTCTAAAATAGGCACCCAAGGAGCTCAAATGACAACAAGTAATGTGGAAGTGTCCAGAGGAAGGTTTTAGGGTGGAGAGGTCATTTAAATTGAACCTTGACCTAGGTAGTAAGACTTAGATGGGCAGAGCACAGATAGGACATACATTTCAGCCAAGACTTCCAAGTAGATACTTGAGGAAAGTCGAGTTACGTTGCAAAACGGTTTGCCATTGGATGCCTGTGAGCAGCACAGCCAGGTACACCTTCTGTGCAGGTTCCTTACCTGGTGACCTTGAAGGGAGGATTTGGTATACACATAGCCTTTCGTCACAGAAGGCGCGGCCCGTCCCCACAGTGATAAGATACTGTATAAAACTGGTACATGCACTCGTGCTATTAGCCATCCCTGGCTTCGTTCAGTTTTATGTTTGTATTATTCAACTGTATTGACTAGTTTAGGATTCTGGTTACAGGAGACCTCTTAGTGATCTTTGAAAATTTGGCTTAGATACACATTTTTTTAGGTGGACTTTCCTTACCAGCCCCCAAATCTAAGCCAGCTTCCCCTTCTATGAGCTTTAAAAATACCTTGTGTTTTTTATCAATCGTAGCAATTTAAGGCCCATATCTTGTTCATCTCCATATCCCCTGCACTGAACCTAGTATTTAGCATTGTTATAAGAGCTACCTTTTATTGAGTATGTAGTGTGTGTCAGGCACTATGAAATGTTTTTATCTCTTATCTCATGTCATTAGCCAGCAATCCTATGAAATAAGTACTATGATTACCCTCTTCTCAGATGAGGAGAAGGAAGAACAAAGAAGGTACATAATTTGTTTAAGATCAACATATTCATCAGATACATTAAATGAATGAATGAACAAATACGAGATATTTGCCTTGCCAATTTCCATAAATATTTTTTTATAGTAGTAGTAGGAAAAAATGGAAATACTGGGCAAGCTAACCAATATAAAACAATTTTGTCAAAATGTAAGTCACAATTGATTTTATATTATTTTATTACTAAAATGTATTGTATATAGTTGGCTCTCTTTGGAGGTAGTAAATTCCCTCATTTAGAAATTCAGAGATAGAAAAAAAATGTAATACCCAATGCTTCTTCCTTATTTCAGAGCTCATGACAGGCCTCAGTGATTGATTACAGAACATTTCACAGTGGAGTCTTAAATGCAGGCTCAATCCATCTTCACACACTTATTCAGACATCTACTACTGGAGTTGAATATGCAGAATGAATTCCTTTTGGCATCTCTGTTAGATTGGACCAGCGACCACTTGCCAAGGATGCTATAGAAGGAATTTAACCATCAGATGTGTGTGTTAGTGGTGGAGACAGGGTTGGATAAACATGATCTTCATCCAGTCCTGAAGTTTAGTATGTTCTCTAACAACAGCCTTCTCAGAGCACAAAAACAGAAATACAGATGGGTTTTTTTCACTTTACAATGGTGTGAAGGTTATACACCTTCAGTAGAAATCATACTTTGAGTTTTGAATTTTGATTTTCCTGGGCTAGTGATAGAAGGTAAGATACTCTCTTATGATGCTTGGCAGCAGCAGCGAGGTGATTTTGCCCAACTCCAGGCTAATCTACGTGTTCTCAGCATGTTTAAGGCAGACTAGACTGATGTTCGGTAGGTTAGGGTACTAAATGCATTTTCAATTTATGATATTTTCAATGTGTGATGCGTTTATTGGGACGTATAATCTCACTGCAAGTCTGGGAGCATCTGTTATTTCCTCCATGACATAGTTTGCCTGTGAATACTATGGAGTGCTTGCTATGTGCAAAGCAGTTGTCTGTCCCTGGACACATGCAATGGTAGAGACCACTGGGACCCAAGTCATCATGCTCTCTTTCCCTGGGAACCTTATAGATGTTTAGGGGAACTGAGTAATGTGTGTGTGTGTGGGGGGGGGGGGCGGGGTATGTGTGTGCACACACACATGCAAAGGACAGATGCAACATTACCAGATAATTTCAACATCAAGTATCAAATTAGTAGAATGATGAGATTCAGAGGAGAAGCGCTGTAGGGGACTAGGGTCGTTATTCCTTATAATAGCTGATATTTACCGACGTCTTATGTACCTAACAGTGTTCTTTGGGCTTCAACACAATAACGTTTAATCTCCACAACAACTCTGTGGAGTAGGCATTTTTACTGCATTTTCCAGGTGAAGCAATTGAGACCTGGTGAGGTTAAGTAGCTTGGCCAAGGTCATAAAGCTTAGTAACTGGAGAAACCAAGATTGTACATTGAGACGCTTTACATCCAGGGCCGATCCACACTCTTAACTATTAGTCACTAGAAACTTGACCAAGGAGGGGAGCCTTCAGGGATTAATGTGACCTTGGGGAGCTGGGTGGAGGAAAAAGGGAAGGCGTTTCTGTTCGGACATGGTATTTTACTACTGTACTATTGTCAGAGTGGTGGAAACACACGTCCATACACACACACACACACAGACTTTGGTTCTCACTTTCCCTCAGCGGAAAGTCAGTGAGAGGAGAAAACGGGAACAGAGCTGACCGGTATCTGAGTGAGAACCGGGTTACCATCAGAAGCTGCATTTTTTCCATGGTGTGTTTTGAATTGTGGTGGCTCTGGAATGGCCCAGCGGTGATGTGGGGAGGCTGAACTCTTAGAGATGTCAGAAATACTTTAGTTGCAGAACTAAAATCTTGGCAGGCCGGTGGTGGACCTCTGGTGCCCCACGGAGTTTATTTTTTGGCTGGCTATGAACAAAGGGGAAGAATTCATACTACTGGCAGTGGGGCTCATGTATCCCCAAGGTAGGAGACATTTAATGACAGTAGAGGAGCTTAGGAATCAAAGTCCTACCTGCAATTCATACTGGAGGTTGAACTGGCCCTTTAAGTTGAGGGTGTGAAATCACATATAATTCAAGCAACATGAGATGGTCTGTGAGGTGACATTGTTCCCGGAGGAGTTGTGTTTGTCCTTTGCCTGGTTAGTATGCCTTGGGCATACTCATCAGCATCTTTCCCACCCAAGCCCCCCTCCCACCCTCCCTGGAATGCTCGGAAGCTTCCTGAGTGAAGGTGTGCTTGGTGGAGGTTGTCATAATCATCTTCCTCGGCTTAGAGCTTCTCCTGAGATGCTGACCCCACAAAGCCGCTGGGACCCGGCATCTGCATCTTTGACTTTCTCATTCTGAATCTGCCTTCATGGGTGATGGACGGATACATCATCAGGGAAGGGTGGAATTGGTAGTGAAGGCTGAGGTGCAAAAGGACCTCTTTCGTTAGGAGCCCAGATGAACCCACTTAGAGGATAGCTAACGTCACATACCTGTTCTTAACATGATTCACTGCCTCCTGCAGTCTCTCCTAGCAGTTCATTATTTTATACTCATTCAATTCCCTGTCATTGTTATTCCTCACCCTTAAGTAACAGAACAAAATGAAAGGAATCATAAAAGCACTATATTTTCGTCCAGCCGGTGTGGCTCAGTGGTTGAGCATTGACCCATGCACCGAGGTTGCCAGTTCGATTCCTGGTCAGGGCACATGCCCAGGGTGCGGGCCTGATCCCCAGTGGGGGGCATACAAGAGGTGGTCAATCGATATTCTCTCTCATGGATGTTTCTATCTCTCTCTCCCTCTCCCTTCCTCTCTCTAAAAATCAATAAAGGAAAAAAATTAAAATTAAAATTAAATAAAAAGAATATTTAACTTTACCTTAAAAAAAAGAAGCCCACTAGCCCTGGCAAGTTTGGTTCAGCAGTTAGAGCATCGGCCTGCGGACCAGAGAGTTCTGGGTTTGGTTCCCGCTAAGGGCACGTACCTTGGTTGCAGTTTGTCCCTGGCCCCCAGTTGGGGTCATGTAGGTGGCAGCCACTCGATGTGTTTCTCTCACATCGATGTTTCTCTCTCCCTCTTCCTCCCTCTCTCCTTCCCGCTCTATCTGAAGATAAATGCAAAAGTGTCCTCGGGTGAGGATAAAAAAGAAACACTATATTTTCACAAATATTGATTTCATACCCTATACCCTGGACACTCTCAAACCCCTGGGGTTACAGGACTCAACCATGACATGTCTCCATCAAACAGCATATTGGATTGTTTCGTGTCTGTAAACACTGTTTTCTGCATGTACACCTAACTGTGTTTGTTCTAGACTGCTAAGCTTGTGAATCACTGGCAGAGACTACTTTCATAAGTGTGTTCCAGTGTTTAGAGCCCTTGTAATACTCTGTTTGTCTTTGAAGTCACTCTTTTCTATTGCCAATTGTCTTACCAGGCAAATTGGCGACAATCTGATTGTCCCTGGAGGAGTGAAGACCATCGAGGCCAATGGGAAGATGGTGATCCCCGGAGGCATTGATGTCCACACTCACTTCCAGATGCCCTACAAGGGGATGACCACCGTGGATGACTTCTTCCAAGGGACAAAGGCTGCCTTAGCGGGCGGCACCACCATGATCAGTAAGTCCCCCCAAGTTCCACATTCCTGGTCCCACGTGTCAGGGATGTGTTAACCGCTGTGCTCTCTGCCGATAACTTGTACGCTCCCTTAAGACAGTGTGTAGACTCTCTGCCTGCCGGGACCTGATCGGAGCAGGCTGGTGTGAACATTGGCAGCTCACTACAACCGCATCGAAGATTCCTGAGGCTCGTGACCACAGAAGCAGCCGTCCTCTCCTGTCCACCTCAGCGTCAGGGCTGGGTGTGCAGGCGATGGAGAATCCGGAAGGACCACCTCTGGGCCCATCACTGAGAAAAGTGCACTGAAAAAGTTGTGGATGATGGGCAAAAAGTTATTTCCGAACTTTCAATTTGGGTCTCAGGCAGGAGGGGGCAGAGAGCCCAGCACAGTGTGCGAATGGGGCTAAGAAGCGTCCGGGCAGATGCCAGCGGAGACTGGAAGTTTTGGAGCAAAGAGTGGGCTTCAGTGGCATTTAGTGTTATCAGCTCCGCTGTCTGTGGTTTCCTTTTTTCTTTTCTTTTCCTGGTAACTATTGTAATTCCAAAGAAACTTGGCAGTTGCATGCCATTGGATTACTGAACAGAAAGTATTCCAGGCCAGTCCTTCCTGCCCCAAGCAAATCCCAATGAATCGGGTCCCCTCCCAGCCCCCATCCCAAACTTGGTCAGCAAGAGCTCTGTTTATTTTAACACCGTATACACCCACCCAAGAAAACAGAACAGCCTAAGCCGTAGACTTAATCACTTTCTTCTGCTTCCTGTTGATGGGCGCCCTAGCAGGCTCCAGCCCCAGCTAGCTCAATGTGGAAGCCCAGGGAAATTGCATTGAGGCCATAAAAGGTGCAATTCAGGGAGACCAAAGCCCTTTCCAGCCAACGGGAGGAGGCCAGCTGACTTCTCAGCAGCCGCCTGCCCACGGAGGCCTGGTGCGGGTCCAGACATCAGTAATGTAGCTCCACGCGTTTGCTTTGCGATAAGTGCACTTAGGCAGCTTGTGGGAGAAGGCCGAGGAAGTGAGTGATCCTGGCTTGGCTTTCTGCCATCTGGGCAAGGAGTTGAGCTTGTCAGCATTCTGGGCATGCGTATTTTCTTAGTCTTCTGCATGAGGGAAGGAACTCAGAGTTTCAGGTGACGAGGGAGAAAAGGAGACAAAGAACCACACAAGTGTTCGTGTCTTCATTTAAAAACCCTAGCTATGAAAAAAAAGGGAAGAAAAGAAAACTGGTAAATCCCATCACTACTTCAGTTTCCCTATCTATATGTTTTCCCATTTAACAAAAATAGGATCATAATAAACATACTGTGTTGGAGCCTCTCATTTTCACGGAAGGATAAGCCATGGATGACTTTCCGTTCATTTATTTTTATTTCACCACAACATGTAAGATGGATGCCAAGCCATCCATTTTATGAAGGTGTCACAGTCTGTATTTAACCAAGCTTCCCTATTGTTTGATATTTTGATGGTTCCAGTTTTTTCACTTACAGAAACATGTAATCGTTTAGACGAACAAACATCTTTAGGACCTAGATTTTGCACACAGTGTTAGCATAACTGCTAAGCAAGTTGTACCAGTTCCCACTTTTCCTCGCCTGCCCAGGAGAACTACGAGAGTGCCACTTTTGCCTTATCCTCGTCAACTGTAAACGGTATTATTTTAAAAATATTGCCCTGGCCAGTTTCAGTGGTTAGAGCATCACCCATGGACCGATGAGTAATGGGTTCGATTCCGCTCAAGGGCACGTACCTCGGCTGCGGTTCTACCCGGCCCTGGTTGGGGTCGTGCAGGAGGCAACCAGTCCATGTGTCTCTCTCACGCCAATGTTTCTCTCTCTCTTCCTCCCGCCCACTCTATCTGAAGATAAATAGAAAAATATACTCAGGTGAGGATTACAAAATAATAATAAAGAAAGATAGAGAAAGAAAGAAAAATTATTTGTGGCTGCAGGTGCTGCATGAGTAGATTTGGGCCTCAGAGAAACCAGATTCTTGACAAAGACCTTGCACAGAAATAAGATCTGCGAGCTCAGCGTCAGGTTCCTCCACTAACAGCGGCTCCTTGCCGTGGCAGTAAGCTTGAGGGGTGTCGCTGTTTTATGCCCTGATGTAACTTTAAGACCCCTCCTCCACCCTTAGAAGGGAGTGGGACATTTAGCTGTCTGAGTACTGGTAATTTATCTCTACAGTAATGATAATAATGGCACATAGTGTGCACACATTGATAGCTAACATTAACTGAGCACTTACTATGTGCTAGGCGTCAGACGAAGCACTTTAGTGCGTCTTGCCACTTCATCTCATAACAAACTTAGAAGGAAGGCACTGTGACATCCTGTCTCCCACCCCACTCGGGACCCATTTTAAGGAGGAGACAAATGAGGTATAGAGAAGCTAGTAAGTTGTCCAAGGTCACATAGTTACATGACCGTTAAATCATCAGCAACACTTGCCACGGTTGTGGCTGAGCAAGCAGCAGCAGGCCTGTTCGAAGGGGAAAGTCTGTGTCAGTGAGTCACCGTCCGGGTCTCTGCCATACAGTCGACCACGTGGTGCCCGAGCCCGAGTCCAGCCTGACGGAGGCCTACGAGAAGTGGCGAGAGTGGGCCGACGGGAAGAGCTGCTGTGACTACGCCTTGCACGTGGACATCACCCACTGGAACGACAGTGTGAAGCAGGAGGTGCAGAGCCTCATCAAGGACAAAGGTGAGCCCGCATGTGCCTTCCCCCCTCCCCCCTTGCCCGTCCTTCACACAACATCCACTCATCGGAGTCCCTCCTCCTTGCTTGGAGCCTGGAACCTCAAGCATGCGGGCTGCATTCCAGGCACCTTATTTATCCCACCATTCCTGCTCCATACAGCGTCCCCACGACATGGGGATGATTATCCTCACTTGGCAGGTGGAGAATCTGAGGCCCAGAATGAGTAGCCCAGGATCACAGAACTAGTAAGCGGTAGACTTACCCACAGTCTGTGCTCTTCACTTCCGTGCAGTGCTGCCCATTTGGCAGAGGAAGAAACTGAGGTCAGGAGAGGTTAACATCGTTCCTAATGTCACCCAGAGACTCAACAGGAGAGTAGGCATTTTTAAGCTCTATCGTTTTTACTCCAAAGATCAAACCCATTACTACTATATATCTGTTAACAACATCCTCAGAAAAGCTAAGACATTTCTGGGAGCAAAGATGTGTTTGTACTCAGGCTCAGAGCTGAGGGCATGAAAACATGTTCCCGTGTGTGTGTGTGTGTGTGTGTGTGTGTGTATGCGCGCACACGCGTGTGCGTCCAGTGAGTATGTGGTTTAGGTTCCCATTTTCTTAGACTCTTCTGTTCTCGACTTTCTGCGTTGATGGCCAGATATCTCCCACACGCACCACCCCCCGTACAGACATGCGATGTGCTGGGGATCTAAAGGCAGCCTGGGGGGCGTAGGGAACTAGAAGGAATGGCCGCTGCTGAGCACCCGAGGCGGGAGGCAGCCGGCCAGAGGAGATGCCGGGAGATGCGGGGCTGTCCTCGGATGCACAGTCCTGGTGCAAAGGCCAGGAGTGCAATGGAAGCGTGGGTTCTGGGTCGGAGGGGAGAGGGGTACCTCCCAGAGGACACGTTTTCCTTTCCATTGCCCTCCTGCTCCCACAAGCTCTGCCCCAGTCCTTCCTGATTCAGAATGGAAGTTAAGCCCTCCCTTCTGTGTGGCTCCTCTCCTACTGGGCATCTGGCTTGGGGTAGAGGATGGAGTGGCTTTGACACCAACTTCCCTTGCACAGGGCCCTGGTCTTTCCACAATGACACAGAGGCTGTGGGAAGGGTAGTGTTGGGAAGAACTGCCCTCAGCTGAACCACTCTGGGTAGGGAAGTTCTCGGGTTACAACCCACTTTTGGCCTGGAACACTGTGGGCTGCGATGGCCCTGATGGTCTGAGACCAAAATTATCCTCCTTTTTGCAAAATGACTCTCTGTTCCCCAGTCCCACCTATTTCTGTACATGCTATATTAATAGTTTATTTGGGGTGAAAAACTAAATGGCTCTTGTCTCATAACCCTTACGACTTAGATATTTGAGCTCAAGGTGACATTTGACTTCTGCCCAGTAGCTCTGTTAGTTCTCCAAGGACAGGTCCTCAGATTCAGCCCTGCACAGGTCACATGTAGAGCAGGCACTGCTTAAAAAGTGAAGTAAAAGCGCCCGGCTGGTGTGGCTCAGTGGTTGAGCATCAACCCATGCACCAAGAGGTCTCCGGTTCGATTCCCAGTCAGGGCACATGCCCAGGTTGTGGGCCTGATCCACAGTGAGGGGCATGCAGGAGGCGGCCAGTAGATGTTCTCTCTCATCAATGTTTCTCTCCCTTCCTTTCTCTCTAAAAATCAATAAAGAAAAAAAAAAGAGGTGAAGTAAAACCAACGCCAGAAGATCCAGTCATAGAGACTAAATCAGTGCCAGGACTGGTGCTAAGAGCTCGGCATGTATCTCATTTAATGTTGCCAACAATCTTATAGAGCAGGGTATTGTTATTCTTCCATTTTACAGATGAGGGAACCGAGGCTCCAGAGGTTAGCTGTTCCAAAGTCACTGACGTCGTATGTGGCGCAGCCCCCAGTGTGCGAACATAGCCGGGGAGCTGCGGTGATTCTCAGTGGTCTATAGACTGCCTCAAGCCAGAGCGAAGCTTACTGACGCTGTGGGCTGGGGCGTGCTGGGAGCAGGCAAGAAAGGGGTGCAGGAGAAGAGACCATTCCCTGTGATGTTACACAGGAATTGTTGCTTTTACAGAGTGGGGAGGGAATAGAAAAAGGCTCTCGGAGAACGGGAAGCATCCGCTGTGTGTTGGACAGGAGCCTGTAATGTATTTGGGCCCCGTGGGCCACAGAAGCGGGAACAAAGGGTGGAGAGTGGTTGTGATGATGCTGTTTTCTCCCTGCCCCCCCTTTTCTCTCTTGCAGGGGTTAACTCCTTCATGGTTTACATGGCCTATAAGGATCTCTATCAAGTGTCCAACACAGAGGTAAAGGCCCATTGCTGTGTGGCTGGGGGTATCTGGATGGGTTTCCTAGTGTTGCTGATGACCTTGGCTCCTCATCATGAGTGACTGTGGGCGTTGTGGGAGACTGCTGGGCCAGAGTGATTCTTGCATCCCTCGCGGTCCACGCCACATTTTAAGTCAGGTAATGGGCAGGGTGCCCGCGGAAAGGCAGACAGGGAGTTAGAAATTGCAGTGGCTTTCTCAAAAGGACAAGAGGAAGGGCATGCTTACATCTCCATCTCCCAGGCAAATGCACACCGCTTATGAGCTCAGGGAACAGGTGAGGTGCTCAACTTTGCAGGATTAAAGAGAGCCGTCTGCTGTTGGGGGCAATTGTCCCAGCTTGTCTCTGACTTGCTCCTTAAGAAATTCATCAAATGTGTTTGTGTTTGACAAATCTAAAGTTTTCAGAGGAAATATGCGAATTTAATTCTCCTGTTTCCTGATTAAAAGGCGAAGGGAGGTCTATCTTGAGATAGGGGTTCAGCCCTTGCGCCAGCCTCTGGGCTGTGGTGGCTTTGCGAAGGGTTCTGAGGCCCCGTCTCAGCTCAGTGGGAAATAAATCCATAAACATGTGCTGGGGGCGGGGAGTAGACGGGGGTCAGTAACATTGTTACATCCGCCCTCTCTGCTGAGGCAAGGCAGCAGGTGCCGTGTCTAGACAGTTTTCTGGAGTGTTTTCGAGCCCTCCTCTTAGGTCCTGCATGTTGTTGGCTGTATGTCTGCCCTCGTCACTGATTCCCCCTGGTTTATCCCATTCTGACTCCTGTAGCAGTCCTTGGGTGAGGTTGCCGAGGGCACCAGGGGCTTGTGAAGGTGACAGACTCGTTTCTCTTTCAGCTCTACGAGATCTTCACCTGTCTGGGCGAGCTGGGAGCCATTGCTCAAGTTCACGCTGAGAACGGGGATATCATCGCCCAGGTGAGGCGTGCGGCCGCTCGAGCGGGCTCTCTGCGTGGCCTCTGCCTCCGGTTCCTCTCTGCTCACTGTTGCCTGAGCTCTCGCCATGGGCAAGGCCCTTCCTAAGTGCTCCGCGAAGCTGCCCAGAGGATCTCACTGTCCAGGACGAGGAAGCAAGGGGATGTGGAAAGCGAGGGAGCAAGCACCAGCTGGCGAAAGATGGGGAGAGATCTGGCTATTCTGGGGACTCTGGAAAGCCTTCCTGGAAGGAGGAGGTGTTCAGATCGGGCCATTTACTGGGAGCGCATCGCTGATTCTCTTTTGCAAATGAGTCTAAGCCGTATGGCATTCTCGGTCCTAAAGAGAACTCCAAGGCAGCACTTCTCAGAAACCAGAAATCCGATCCAGGACTGCAGCTCCCACAGCCTTAGATGATAAAGAATTTAGGTCTTGAGGGGCTCACACGTCCCAGTGGTTTCCTTGAAATCGTACTGAGAAACCCGAGGCGAGCGATGAAAGTGAGGGTCCCCAGGCCCACATCGATCCTGGGGAAGCACTTCTCTCCATCTCCGGGGCTGCCTAATGGGCTGGGTGCGCAGATGTGTCTTAGCTGGGGCTTTGTTTATCCCAGGATTGGCCTCCGCTAGATGGAGGCTGCCAGGAAAGAGTGTGAGCTTGTTTCAGTCCCTTCGATAACATTAATGGCAAGAAACCATTATTCATCCTTTCAAAGAGTGCTTCCCGGGCGCTCTGTGCCAGGCGTCAGGCTGTAAGAGGTGAGGCAAAGCAGATGTCTTCTGGCTGGGAAGTGCCTGGGCCGTGCCTTCCTTTCAGAAGTTATCCGGGACTTGGTCAGGGTGATGGGCAGGGGTGTGGGGACATTGTTGAGGCCGAGTCTACCTCAGACCCGTGAGCTGCCAGGAGCAGGTACCATTTTGTGAGCACTTCCTACTGTGTGCCTGGCTCTCCTGAGTTCCCATTTAATCTTCACGCACCCTTTAAAGATGACTTCCACCCTCCCCGTTTGCTAGAAGAGAACACTGAGGCTCAGAAGGATTATATCACTGGCCCAAAGATCACAGCCAATAACCGGGAGGACAGAATCTCAGTCCCTTAGGTGATGTGCTTCCAGGGGGCAGCTCACCTGAGATGGTGCTTCCAGGTCCCTGGCCCGTACGGGCAGCCCCCCAGCACCACAGGGCTCCCGGACGGGCAGCCCCCCAGCACCGCTGGGCTCCCGGACGGGCAGCCCCCCAGCACCCAGGGCTCCCGGACGGGCAGCCCCCCAGCACCACTGGGCTCCCGGACGGGCAGCCCCCTAGCACCGCAGGGCTCCCGGACGGGCAGCCCCCCAGCACCGCTGGGCTCCCGGACGGGCAGCCCCCCAGCACCGCTGGGCTCCCGGACGGGCAGCCCCACAACACTGCAGAGCCTCGCTGACAGAGGGTTGTCTCACTAGTGGAGGAGGTGAGCTAAGAGTGCACTTTCCTCTAGCTTATGACCAAGAGGTTAATTAGTCAGGCCCCTGACAGCTTGTCCTTCATCCCCCACACACCCAGAGATAATGAAATCACTTCCCAAAGAGAGTCCAAATGCCTTGCTCCCCAGGGAGGTGGTGTTCGAGCTGTTACTCCTTCCCTTTCTCCAAGTGTTCAGTGCGGCGGCCAGAGGTCCCAGCCCTCCCTCCAGATGCCCTAGAAACCAAACTCCGGCTTCTTCATGCTAGAGCCAGTGCAGGCGAACGGGCTCCAACTCAAAGCCGCTTCTCTGGCGTCCTCCCTGGGCCCTTGGCACAGAAGTGTCTCTGGTTTCCCCCACTCCCACCCTTCCCCACCTTGGGAAGATCTGTTCTGAGTTAGGAAAAGAATAAGGGCATTTTTCCATTTGGACGAGTTTCTTGTGTGTGTGTGTTTATTAAATTCAGCTTGAGCTGAAAGATTTGATCACATTATCTAAATGAAGCAGCTGCGGTCCTCAGAGTCTCTGGATGCACTTCATGCCAAAGTGACTCAGGAGGAAGAAGAAATCTTTTCCTATGGGGGTATTTTCAAAAGGACAGTCTGAGAGCACAGCATCCTCAGCCACTCATCCAAGAAAAATTTACTGAGCACCTACTATGGGTAAAACATTGGAGAGGGAAGATGAAAGAGACAGAGTCCCTTTCCTCGTGGGGCAAACTGAAACCATGCCATGACCCAAGCTGCGTGCCCACCCCAGTCTCAATGCCTCAAAGTGCCACTGCTGCCCACCCATGTCAGGAGCACTGATGGGTCTCCACGTGCCCTTTTTTGTTGTTGATTTTTTTTTTTTTTTTGAGAGAAAAACACTAATTTGTTGTTCCACTTATTTATGCATTCATTGGCTGATTCTTGTATGTGCCCTGATCAGGGGTCAAACCTGCAACCTTGGTGTACTGGGACAGCACTCTAACCAACTTAACCACCCAGCCAGGGCCTTTTACATGCCATTCTTAATCTTCCAGCATAGAGCCACCCTGGCTTTGGCACAGGACTCTCCAGCAGGAGCGATGCTTTAGAATCACCTGTGGAGCTTAGCAACTGATTCCTAGGATTCTCCTAGTTCTGGGGCTTCTGATGCGGGAGGTCAGGAGCAGCATTCAGACAAGTGTATTTGAAAGAGTTCCCCTGGCAAACTCCATCCATGTGTTGTCCAAAAACTCTCGAACAAGAGAAAAGTGAGAGTGTCCTATTGGATAGAAGATGCTTTTGTTGGAGATCTTCACCCTGTGTGAGTTCAGGAGGCAATTCAGAGCAGAAATGCTCCAGAGTTTGGAAGAAGCTTTATTCAGTTCTAGTTGTGATCAATGAAACAGTAAGAATGAAACGTGGAGGAACATTGCTGGGAAAATCAGCCTCTGACCTTTTTCCAAATTCTGTAGGGCTGCGGACAGTGATCATTTTACTTTTCGTGGTTGCTTATAGTAGCATCCTTCTTTTCTGCTCCTCCTTTTAAAATTAGTATTAAAAACAAACAACGAAATAGTTCTCCTTTTCCAGGTAGAAGGAATCCCTTTCTAAACATCTCATGGTTTCCAAGTGAGCCAGGGCGTTGCTGAGTTTGCTCTCTCTCTGTCTCTTACATCAGCAGTGCAGAATTTCATAGGAACCGGCCTTCGTGCTTGGAGAGTGAATCCGGCAAAATTGCAGAGATGGTTGCTTAGGATTTGTGCCAGTTCCAATTAGGCCCTGTTGTGTTCACTGTCCAGCCACCTGCTTCTTCCAGGAAGTGGGCCAGAGGTCGGAGGAATTTAGCCATCAGCCACAAGGGGCAGGCCGTTCTGCCTTACCCAAGACCTAATTAAATAAAATTTAACCAAAAGACGAACTCGGGTAATGCTGGTTAGAGGCACTATTTTGTCCAGTTCAATCCTAGTCCATTCAAGTCAAGTCATAAAAAGAAAGTAAAGCATTAAAGAGCCTGATGAGCTTACTAAAATGAAGACTCCTAGTCTTTAACCTCAGATAGTTGGATTTGGTAGACCTGGACAGGGCCAGACATCTGTGTTTCTACAAACACAACCCAGTTGATTCTGATGTAGGTGGAGGGTTGACCGGACTTTGGGAAACACTGCAAGTCCCATCAAGCCAGGGGTTGCCTTAATTCAAACACCTAGAGCCTAGCATGAAGCAGATACTCAGTAATACTCAGTGAATGGGTTTTAAAATGCATGAATGAATTTAAAAATGAATTAAGGGGTTGTACTTTCAGCGGTCTGCATCTGAAAGAAATGAAATATGTGATCATGTGACTTTTGCTGCATAATATAGAAAAACTGGTACTCTATATGAGACTGTCTTCTTTTTAATAAAAGCAGGCCACTCTTAAATGTGTTTTTCTCCTTTTAGTTAAGACTCTAACCTATTTTGCAATTCCATGTATAGAGATAACAAGTTTGTTCAACACACATATTTCATTCTTTTTCCCCTGAACATCCTTCAGCCTAATTTTTCCAAATCTCAGTTGAGCTCATCTAAAAACTGTCCTCTATTTCTAAGGAAATAGAGTTAGGAGTTAGTTAATAGCATCTTGTGTTTTTTTTTTAAGTTTTAGTTAAAGTATTGATATATTATAAGAAATGCCAATAGTACCATTTTGGGTTGGTCTGAATGATTTCAGGCTTTGAAATTAATCTTGACTAAGTGATATGATAAGGTAAAAACATAAAAATAAAAAATTGTTCTCTATTTTTTTCTCATTCTAGGAGCAATCCCGGATGTTGGAAATGGGGATAACTGGCCCAGAAGGCCATGTACTGAGCAGACCAGAGGAGGTGAGTAGCGGGGGGGGGTGGTAGGGGTGAGTAGGGGGGAGAAGAGAGAGAAGCAGTGCAGTAGGGGCTTTCTGTTTCTTTTATTATTATCTTTATTGTTGAGAGTATTACACATGTCCCCCCTTTTGGGGGCGGGCTTTCTTTTTTTTACCAGCACCTTCTGAGAGACTGCCATTGTCACAGTCCCAGTCCTGGCTGTTCCCTGATGGCATGTCAGTCATTTTACATTCGCGGTGCTAGCCTTCAGCCCGCCTTCCCTAGGCACCTGCAACACAGTGCACGCACAACACTGCGGAAGGCAGGCGGTGAGGCTCTGTGCCTGAGGCTCTGTGCTGACCAGAAGCAAGGCTGTAGCCTTTCTTCCAAAGGCCAGCAGACCAAGCCAACTCAGGGGCCCCTAAGGAAATTAGAAAGGAATGCTTACCTCTGACCCCTAATCTCTCCAAAGATAACACCAGTTGGAGAGAACTCGCACTTCTTCGGTAGGAGTGTAAATATCTAAATCCTTTCTTAATCGGTGTGAATTCCAGAGACATTTCTACTTATTCCCTCATTTCATATTGTATTTTGAATCCCGCAAAATATTGGCCATGTGGATAGGAGGCTGAATGGGTTTTAACAGGCAGCATGTCTGCCAGTTTGTGTGAAGGGGATGGTTGCATGTAGGTTGGGAAGTTTCCCACGTGTAAAGTGAATACTGATTAGTGACTGTGCTTAGCAGCTGAAGCGAGAGTGAAAGGTTAGTAGGGGCTGATTCCATGTCTCTGGGATGTCAGCAATCTCAGCTGCTGGCCCAGGGCACAGCTGGGAGTTGGCTGCTCATACGGCTGAGAGCATATTGGCTTTGGGGACTTGCCTGGGTCTGGCACCTGGAGCGAATCAAGGCCCTCCGTGTCAGCGAGGTGAACCATGTTCCTGTTCTGTCCTTCCTAGCCCCGCTCTGCAGCAAGTAGACCAAGGAGCCCAACCAGAAATGATCCCATTTCCAATGTCCATCTCTTTCGGAATCTTTTTAAAAAGTAAATCATTACACACATAGAGAAAAGTATTCCTATCATAAAAGCACAATGAATTTTGCCCGGCCAGTGTGGCTCAGTAGATTGAGCATCGTCCCGTGGACTGAGAGGTCCCGGTTTTATTCCCGGTCAGGGCACATGCCCCGGTTGTGGGCTTGATCCCCAGTAGGGACCGTGCAGGAGGCAGCCGATCCATGTTTCTGTCTCTCTCTCACTAAAAATATCAATAAGAACATGTTTTTAAAAGAGTACAATGAATTTTCACAGACTGAATACACTTACATAACTAGCACCCAGGTGGAGACACAGAACATCATCAATCCCCCAGAAACTCCTTTGTCCAATGATATTTTTGTTACCAGTTGAAATAATTGATAATTTTGTTGGGAATGTAAATTGGTGCAGCACTATGGACAACAGTAAGGAGGTTCCTCAAAAAATTAAAAATAGAACTATGACCAATTCCTCTTCTGGGTATTTATCCAAAGAAAATGAAAATACTAATTCCAAAAGATATCTGCCCCCTATATTTATTGTAGCATTATTTATCATAGCTAAGATATGGAAACAACGGAAGTGTCTATCGATGGTTAAACGGATGAGAAAATGTGGTACACACACACACACACACACACACACACACACAGGAATATTATTCAGCCATAAAAATGAATGAAATTCTGCCATTTGTAATAACATGGATGGACCTTAAGGGGATTATGCTATGTGACATAAGTCAGAAAAAGAAGGATAAATACCCTAGGATCTCACTTTTGTGTGGAATCTAAGAAACAAAACCACAGTCATCCCCCCATCTTAACACTCCCCCCCCCCAAAATAAACAAGCTCATAGATACAAAGAACAGATTGGTGGTTGCCAAAGACAAGGGGTAGGGAGATTGGATGAAGATGGTCAAAAGGTACAACTTTCCAGCTATAAAATAAGTCAGTCATGGGGATGTAAGGTACAGCACGGTGACTGTAGTTAATAATACTGTACTGCATAGCTGACAGTTGCTAAGAAAGTAGAACTCGGAACTTCTCATCGCTAGAACAAAATCTGTAACTGCGTGTGACGGACGTTGACAAGACTTGTTATGGTGATCATGTGGCCCTGGGTACAAACAGCGAGTTAGTTTGTTGTACACCTGAAACTAATATAGTGCTGCGTGCTAATTAAACCTCAATGAAAACAACTGGGATGGAGTTCCAGCCACAGCATCCCGGTGAACGTCTGTGTCCTTGATGCCAGGCCCTCTCTGGATCAGTGGCTTTTGCCCAGCGCTGTGCCAGCTGCGTGGTTGCAGGGTGCTTGCTGCTCTGGATGGTGGGTGTGACTGGGCATAAAGAAGCCGCGATCAGAGCGGTGGAGGCACCGGCCGTCGTGTCTGCAGGACTGGAAAGCGGTTTGCGCGGTGCGAGAGGACGGGGCGATCAGCCCTGTCCCCGACAGTTTTCTTAAATGCTGGTCGCTGTTGAGATATGCTGACAAGATAGATCCGTCAGCAGCAGCCAGGGGATTTCTGAGCAGAGTCTATTTTTGTTCCTTGGTTTGTTTGTCCAACCCCCCCACACCCTGTTCCTCCCTGCTCCCGTCTCCTTTTTAGTAGAAAGCCTCCTGGCGGCAGATCCCGACAATCCGGGAAGCCCTTCTGGGTGAAGTTGGAGAGTGATGTCACCTTCCAAAGATAGTCATGTTGTCAAGGTGCTGAAGATCCTGCAGGGCTTCGAGGGAACGAGATGACAGGGGCGGGGGTGGAGGTCAGGGGCACGGAGAGGTCGACATAGGTGTGAAGAGGGGGCTGGAGGAGCCAGCTCCAGTGATGCTGCTCAGAGCTGAGCACCAGGCCCAGAGATTTCACTCTGGGCACTCCAGGAAGGTGACCACACTTCCAGGGTTGCCCACCTGGATCGAAGCGCAGCGAGGGGGATGCCAGGTGGGCCAGCCCAGTCCTTAGAGTCTGTCTGCCGAGCCACGCTCACTGTGGGCAGGGGCTGGTTTATATCCGGCATCTTTAGGCTATTTTTGGTCCTTTTTAAAGGGTTGGGCTGCAGAGGCCAACCAGAATGTCATATCCATCCAAAAAGGAACTGTTGCCCATTGAATGGAAAAGTGCCAGTGTCTCTGCCTTGGGCCAAATCGGACTAACCTGGGTGGTAATTTTGGGTACAACACAGGCTCTCGCACACCAGGCAGAAGCTGCCATCGGCACCCATCGGGACACTGGGCTCGTCCCAGGAGCGGGCGAGTCGCCTTGTGCAGACGAACCCCTTTAATCCTCAAAACAGCCTGTATGTTTCAGGCTCTATATTATCCCCACTTTATGGATAAGGAAACCGAGGCTTTAGGAGGTTGTGTGAGTACCTGAGGTCACCCAGCTTCTAAGTGGCAAAACTGAACTAAGACCCAGGCCATTTGAGAAGGCCTGAGCTCTCAGACCCTGATTTCTTAGTTAGAGAGGGAACCACTCTTCCTAACGTACTGGGTGCAGCGGGGCTGGTTAGCCTCTTTGCAAACGTGAATTCTGCATTAGGGTGGGGTGGCGGAGACTGTCGACAAAAGAAGTCTTTGTGCTGCTGGAATTAACCCCTCTCTGTCCACCTGTGGCTGCAGGAAAGGGTTAGAAGACACGACGCCTCATTGCCTGGACTGGTTATTTCATACATATTGGTGTTAGGATTGTGTTTTGCCAGAGAATCAGCCCTGGGAACATTAGGGAGCAAAGACTTCCACCCACGTGGCCTTTGTGGTCATCGCAGGGAGGGGAGAGAAAAACTCTAGCTGCGTTGATACAGTGTTTGCTCTGTGCCAGGCCGACCAATGTCACTCAACAGGCCTGCGCTGGCCTGTCGCGATCTCCACGTCACAGGCGAGGGGCGGAGGCACCGGAAGCCCAGTCAGCGGGCACAGCCGGCCGGTGCTCGATCTGAGATTTCCATCCAGTGCGTCCAGCTCTAGGCTTGCAACGGCGGCCCCGTCCTCAGAGTGGGGGGGCAGGGGCGTGGTGGTGTAGAGAGGCTTCCACTCCTGTTGACTCCTGACACCTTTTTCTTGTTGCAGCTGGAAGCCGAGGCTGTGTTCCGTGCCATCACCATCGCCAGTCAGACCAACTGCCCTCTGTATGTCACGAAGGTCATGAGCAAGAGTGCGGCCGACCTCATTTCACAAGCCAGGAAAAAAGGTGATCCGTGCTCCCAAGATCTGGGGGCGCTGACGCTGCACGTGTCCTTTCTTCCCTGGATGACTGTATAAACGGTGCCTGTTTGCTCCTGCCTCGCTCTCCGGGGAGCCCTTCATCCCTGGTGGCCCATTGGAGTTTTCCCTGCATCCCCGTGGGTAACAGGATCCTGGGATTAATCCCACTGGGCAGAGGAGTAAACTGAGGCTCAGGAAGGTTCGTGGTTTCCCCGAGGTGACACAGCTTGAATCAGGTCTTTGGAGACTGGGTTCGTCTTTCTTTCTCCGTTTGATCTTTTATCGTCAGGTTACATTGTCTGAGCTTTATAAATGGACGTATTGATCAAGAGTGTATTGGGTGCAGAAGTCAAAGATCCAACGCAAACTGACTTAGAAACAAAAGTGACTTTTCGGTTGAAGGTGTTTCAGGCGTGGCCGCACCGAGGGGGTGAAGCGAAGGGATGAGGACTCTGTCTCTCACTCCCGTCCTGGGCCTGCTGGCCCCTCTGGTGACCTTACTTTCAGCACGGACAGTGACAAGAATGAATGCCGAGAGGCACCTGTTGTCCTCCACGCTGCTGGCGGAGGGAGAGCGTGATAAGGAGGGAGAGTACATCTTTTCCAACAGCTCAAGGCCAAGGCCCCAGGACTGCGATGGCCTTGGCTGGGTCATGGGCTTCTCCCTGAACCCGTACCTGCTCTGGGGACAGCGCAGTTGATTGGCCAGGGCTGAGGGCAGGGTGCGGCGGCAGGGCCCACCCCCTGAGCCACACAGATTAACACAGGTTATTTTAGAAAAGGGGTTGAATGGGCAGCACGGCCTTCGTGACCTGGGACGCCGTCCCCAAGGCCTTCGGCCACTTTCCTTCATTGCTGTTAACTTGGGCTTCGTGTGCTCACCTTGTGCTAAGCTCAGGGTCACTCCCCTTTCCGGGCACTTCCTGCTTCTCGTTCTTGTCCTGAATGGGAGACTAGTGGGCTCACTCATGAACGATGTGGACGGGAGCCTGGCTGCGTGGGGCTGGGAGCCAGGAGGGACCAGGCCCGTTCTGGGACTGTGACCACGGTGTGCCGTGGCTGTCCTGGAAGTGGAGAGACCCACGACGAGTGGTTTCTCTCCCACACTCAGAACTCGTCGGTGAAACTCCAGGCGTAAGTGAGTAGGGTGGCTGAACATAGTCCCAGCTGACTCTGGGACTCGGGCTTCGGCTCCCTGGCCTCTGGCAGAGGGAGGGACTTGTCCTGATGGTCTAGACAGTCTTTCTGGCGGGCAGATTCCGGGGCACCTCCCGCCTTGTGCTGCTCCCAGGGAGACTGCTGTTTTCTCTCTGCTCTTCAGTGTCTCAACATGAACACTGGTGGCTGCTCCACTCGGTGTGATCATCAGGCGACAGCCAGGAAGGCGGTCCCATGTTCCTTACCTACTGGAGAAAGGCAGAGGAAGAAAAAGAAAGCAAAGAGCACAGGGAACACCCCACACCTCTCCACATGACCACCGACCGTAGTCCTCCTCCAAGGCACTTCGGCTACATCCTGCCGGGGCCCCCTCGGGATACTCTGGGGGCCTCAGGACGGACTGTTTCAATTACATGTTGGGCCTTATTTTGACCTTCATGTAAAAACATTCCTCGCCCTTAGCCATCTAACTCATGATTCACCAGCAAGGACGAGTACCGCTGTGTCTCTAGGGTGACACGGTAGCATCGTTTCAGTGACCAAAAACCGGCCGCTGAGATGGAAGCCAGTAAGCTGCGCATGAACTGGGGAAGAGTCAAGGGCGTTCAGACAGGAAGACAGAGTGTAGCAGGGCTCCCCTCCCCCCCAGCAGGTCACGCTGTAAGCCCGCGTGTTTGATCACCCAGTGCTCTGGCGCAGCTCAGCATTGCTGCTCAGAATGAATACTGGGAATCGGCAGTGTAACGGAGACCAACTGTGTGTCCTGCGCTCACATAAATAAATACAGGCAGATCGCGGAGACACTGCATTTGGTTCCAGGCCATCATGACAAAGCATGGATTTTTCGGTTTCCCAGTGCGTATTGAAAAGCCATGTTTACACTATATGGTAGTCTGTTGCGTGTGCAATAGCATTATGTCTAAAAAATAAAACACATACCTTAATTAAATACATACCTTTTTGCCCTGGCCGGTGTGGCTGAGCGGTCAGAGCGTTGGCCCACGGACCACAGAGTCATGGGTTTGATTCCTGGTCAAGGGCACACACCTCAGTTGCAGGTTCAATCCTCAGCCCCAGTCAGGGTCGTTCTGGAGGCAACCCTTCAATGTGTCTCTCTCACATCAATGTTTCTCCCTCCCTCCCTCCCACTCTGTCTGGGGAAAAAAAAAAAATCAGTGGAAAAATATCCTCGGGTGAGGATTAAAAACAAACCAAAAACCTTTTTGCTAAACATTGCTAACCGTCCTCTGAGACTTCAAGGCATACTCTTTTTGCGAGTGGAGACTCTTGCCTTCAATTTGTAAAAAACATAATATCTGCAAAGTGCCATAAAAGGAGGTATGCTTCCACTTTAAATTTATTATGATGCAGAATTCTCAGAGGACCCTGAAAAATAGGCATTATCACCCCGTTTCAGATGAGGAGATTGAAGCACACCTTGTCCAGATCTCTCCCCGCTTGGAAAACTGTATGCAAGCCTGGGTATAATGAAAACCTTTACTTTTTCTACTCTTCCTTCTACGGGTATTCCAAAGGGAGAGTTCTTCTACGTTTAAAGTTGTCATTTCTCCTAATGGCCCTCGAGTGCTTGCCTTGGCTTTCATTTCTTCTTTTCTTTGTGGCCCTGTATGCTTTAGTTTGGTAAATATTTTCGGAGAGCCCTTGAAATTCACATTAGTCATGTGCGATCCTTGTTGAGTGTCATTTCAAAGAGCAGGGGTTGGCTAAAAGTCAGTTTATCATTGTGCCTATGGAAAAAGACATGCAGGTTATGATGACTACAATAGCTTTATTAACACAGAAGAATGTCGCTCACAGCTGTGAACCTTGGCCCACCCCTGGAGGCATCGTTGCCATGGCTTCCTTCTTTTGCCCTTGGCAGACACCCCAGCTCAATCCTGCGGTCTTTTCCAGTGGACCCAGAACCAGTATTAGAATTCCTCCCTATGCAGAAGTTCAGGCAACCAGAATCAACTGACAGCAGTTGGAGCAAGGCAAAACCCATTTATAATCCTGGCCATGGAGCCTTCCTGAACTTTGACCCTGTGGGGAACTTGAATGTGGAAGATGAAGGACCAAAGCTAAAGAAGCCCAGGGAGATGCAGCCCATCTCTAGCCCAGGACCCTGGCACGGAAAATCTTGGTACCAGCCCACCTCCCGTGAGATCGCGTTTGCCTTCTGTATCACGGTCCCCTCTTCATTAAGCCCGATAACAGCTTAGATCAGTCTGTTTCCTAATATCCTTCCTCTCCTTGATTTGGGCATTTAAGACCCTAATTCCAGACATACAGGGTCCAAGAAGCTAGCCTCATCTTTGATGAGCCCTAGGTTATTGGGTGTCCTTGAGCAAATCCCTCCTTGCCTCAGGATAGGGGGTAACGGACTTGTCGAAAAGACCACGGGAGCCTCTCCTCCACAGGAGCGGGTGTTACTCTGTGGAACCGAAGCATGTCCCTGGAGCCGCAGGGTCTAGCAGTTCCCAATGACGTGGGCACATTTGGGGCTTTGGGGTCCCACTGTGGGAAGGAGGAGGTATAAAGAAACTAGGTTCATTGAGCATCTCCTTTGTGCCGGACACTTGGTACATGTCAGATCCTTTCATTTTTCACAAGCCTGGGAAGTAGACATTATTTTGTTTCCTCGGTTCTGGGACAGATCTATGCCATGTTTTAATATTTCTGAAATGAGAGTGAAGCTTTTCATCAATGTATATATATTTTTCTTTTCCCTCCAATTTTAATTTGCCTCAAAACTTGAGAATGAATACTGTATCTTGCAAGCAATGGTTTCTTATAATCTGAGGAATACATTCCCCCCCCACCCCCCATTTAGCAGCTAGAAAAGCAAAGGCTTAGAAGAGGTGGGAGCATGGACTTGAACCCAGGCTTTGACTCCAGAGCCACAGCCTTGAGTAGGCTAAGAGGCCCAGGGCAGTCACACCTTAGGCAAACTCTCTGCCTGTTTCCTACCCCGTGCAGGAAACGTGGTCTTTGGTGAGCCCATCACTGCCAGCCTCGGCACAGACGGAACCCATTACTGGAGCAAGAACTGGGCCAAGGCAGCTGCATTTGTGACATCCCCACCTCTGAGTCCTGACCCGACCACTCCTGACTACATCAACTCCTTGCTGGCCAGGTTGGTACAGAGGGGCAAGCAGCTGGCATTGCGTGGGAACATCCTGCGGCTGGTGAGATGAGGCCTAGAGCAGCCCGTCCATCAGCTAGACTGGGGTCTACAGCGGAGAGGCGGAGAGAATTCCCCTGCCATCTGGAGCGCAGACAGCAGGCTCTTCCCCATTGTATTTTTTAAAAAAATACTACAGTAGTCATATTAATAATGGTAATAGCAGTTAATGTGTATTGTGTGCCAGGCACTAGGGTGAGACCACACACATGATCTCATTGTTCATTATAACAACTTTGAGTGAGAGATTTTTATAACTGTAGTACAGAATAAGCAGCTAATGGTCAGAACGACTAAATTATTTGCCGACTTTTGAACAGGTGATCATGATGACCACCTAACCACAATGATAGGAGGGCTCATTTGCTGCTGTCCTCTGCGGATCAGTCCCATCATTCCTTTGGGTCCCCTCTATTTTATTACACAAGAGATGATTTCATTTTCCAGATGGGGTAACCAGGCCCCAGAGAGGGGAAGAAATTTACCCAAATCCACATAGTCGGCAAGAAATAGGGGAAGGATTCCAAACTCAAGTCTTGGCACTGTAAACGCTGACCCTAGACACTTGAGCCTGGGCCCCAGGTGCCTCTAGCCACCTGTGCCGTTCACATGGACTTTTCTCCTTTGCCAGTGGGGACCTGCAGCTCTCTGGCAGTGCCCACTGCACCTTCAGCACTGCCCAGAAAGCGATCGGGAAGGACAACTTCACAGCCATTCCTGAAGGCACCAATGGGGTGGAGGAGCGGATGTCTGTCATCTGGGACAAGGCCGTGGTAAGGATCAAGGTCACGGGAGGGTGGCCAGGCTGTGCAGTGATTGTCTCTCTGTGTCTTGTGGCAAAGAGGCCTGGTTTTATTTTCCTTGTTAACATCACAGAAGCTGCCAAAACAATAGCCATGCAAATGAAGGTTCTCTCAAAGATTTCAGAAAAATTAGTGATTAAGTTATTAAGTTGATCATGTCCCTCTGTTCTATTTTAAAAATCCCAGAGACACTCATTTTAGAGCCAAATAGAAAATGTATGATCTGACGCCTCATCTGTCTACACAGTGTAATCCACCAAGTTTCTCTTTTCTTCTTGGCTACCAGGAAGCTCAAAGCTAGATTTTAGTCTAAATTTTCCTTTCCTTAGCTGGGCTTTTTATTTTGAGAAGAGGGAAAGGATAAATATTTTTATCTCTTCTCTTATATACTTAGATTTTATCTTTTTCTTTTAAACATCATTATGCATGAATGTATGTGTTTATGTTGGCACTATCTGGAATTGTTAAAAAAAATAATATATATAAATATACATATATATTTATTTCCAACATGGTACATTCTCAATAAAGAACACTTGGAAACCACCGAAAAACACATACATGAAAGAAAACAAAAATTACTCATAAATTCCATACCCCGGGGATAACCATTGTTATCATTTGGGTGAGTTTCTTCCGTATTTATCCTATGTCCGTGCAAATACAAACACATTTTAAAAAATTGGCTCATCATCACATGTTTTCATTGTGAACTCTCTATAATACTTTTTGGAATTAGAAGGGGTAAAAAAAGTAAGTAAATGTATGGAATAACCAGAAAAAAAATGCAAACTTCAGGATCAGTAACTTCCCTCTTAAGCCATGTGTTTAATTGTTTTGCCTGGGCGACCAAGACAGCCCGGCCATTTCTGAAAGCTTGCTGGGTGGGGTTCTGTGCTCACAACCCCAGAGGTCCCTGTTTGTTTTGGGGGGCCTTTGTAGTCACCCTGCTATGAGCTTAGAAACTCCACGTTGACTGTTTAAAAAACAAATCATGTTTCCATAGGCCACAGGGAAAATGGATGAAAACCAGTTTGTGGCCGTGACAAGCACAAATGCTGCAAAGATCTTCAACCTGTACCCCCGCAAGGGGAGAATATCTGTGGGTTCCGACAGCGACCTGGTGATCTGGGATCCAGATGCCGTAAAGATCGTCTCTGCCAAGAACCATCAGTCGGTGAGGCTGGAGCGGCGGGCGGAATGCGTGCGAGGAGCTTGGTCAGGACAGAGGTGTGGATGTGGGGGGCCAGGGTAGTTAGGAGCCTGTGTTCCCATAACAGACCATCCCAAATTTCCAGTGACTTCAAACCTCAACAGTTTCTCACTCCCGCTTTCCAAATGAGCCAGCAGACGGGCTCTGCCTACTACAGCCACTCGGGGACGGAGGCTGATAGAGATGTCCTCTCTACACGTGCCCATGATTGTGAGGCTGGGGCCCAGGACATGGGACATGGTGTACTGTGTGTCCAAAAGCTTCCCCGAGATGTCACTTCCTGTCACGCTGCATCGGCCAAAGCCCATCCTGTGGCCCCAGCTTCCTCCAGGAGACAGGAAGTGCAATGGTGCCCGGCAGGAAAAGGGTGACCAGCACTGATGACTCCTCAGGGGGAGGGCAGGCGGAAGATAACAAATAACTAAAGCCTAGTACCTGACAGAGAGGGGCTTAATGCTTGTTAATAAAAATAGTTACAATTTTTTTTTAATCCTCATCTGAGGATATTTTTTTCATTTATCTTTAGATAGAGTGGGAGGGAAGGTGGGAGGGGGAGAGAGAGAGAGAGAGACATCCATGTGAGAGCGTCACATCAGTTGGCTGCCCTCCTGCTCGACCCTGACCGGGGCTGGGCATTGAACCACAACCGAGGTATGTGCTGTTGACCGGAATCGAACCCACGACTCTTTGGACAGTGGGCAGATGCTCTAACCACTGAGAAAACTGGCCAAGGCTTGTTTTTGTTTTTTAAATCCTCACCTGAGAATATTTTCCCCATTTATCTTTAGATAGAGTGGAGGGGAGGAGGGAGAGAGAGAGAGAGAGAGACACGGATGTGAGAGAGACACACTGATGGGCGGTAGGTACTATTTTTAAGCACCTGTGTTTCAGGTCCTGTGCTTGTAACTCATCTGATCTCCATAACAGTCTTCCATGGCCAGGCACGATCCTTACCCCGCTTTATAGAGACAGAAACAGAGGTGCAGAGGGATTAAGTGATTCAGGCCACAATGAAACGAAGCTAGGACTCAGATCCCGACAACCTGGCTTCGTACTGGTGCCCTTACCTCTTTGCGGTGGCGCCTCGCGCCTGTTGAATTCCTGGAGGAGTTAGGGAGAAATCCCGCTTGTTGGTGGGAATGGCCTTTGCCCAAACATTGTGTCATATCACATTATTTAATTTCAAGCTAGCAAGGCCCTGAGAGTCATGTAACCCCCCTACCCACGCACTCAATACAAGACTGCCAAGTGCAGCATCCCTGATCCTTACCCCGCTTCTCCTTGGACACTGCCCGTGACAGAATTTACTTCCACATGGAGATCTTACTAAAGACTGGGGGCTTCCCTTTGCTGGGAACTCCAGCCTATACTTGGGGAGCCTCCATCTCCAGGGCCTCTACCCACTGAAGCCTTGTAGATGCGTGAGAAGCTTTTCCTGGCTTACCTAGCGGGTCAGTTCTAGCGACACTGAGAGCCAGATCCCAGGCCCCCGAGAACCACATTGGTCTTTCTCTGCTTCCCGGGCCCCTACCCATAGCTTTGCCCCTCCCCTGTCTCTAGGCTGCAGAGTACAACATCTTTGAGGGCATGGAGCTGCGCGGGGCCCCTCTGGTGGTCATCTGCCAGGGCAAGATCATGCTGGAAGACGGCAACCTGCATGTGACCCAGGGGGCCGGGCGCTTCATCCCCTGCAGCCCCTTCTCCGACTACGTCTACAAGCGCATCAAAGCCCGGAGGAAGGTGAGCGGGCCCAGAGCTGGGGACGGTGGGTGGGAGGGGCCTGCGGCTCATTCACGCACAGGGACGGAAACCTTGGGGTGGGAGGGGTCTGCGCTCCAGGCGCCACCAAAGAAATTCACAGCGAGGACCCTTCCGAAGGATAGTCACTCAGACTGAATACACAGAAAAAGGGCTTTCAAATAGTTTTTTGGTCAAGGAAAGTCGTTTTCTAATGATTTCCCCCCATTTTATAGTGCTCTTCTTTAAAATAATTTAAAATCGTAATAATTCAAAATAATGTCAGTATGGTTTTTTTGTTTTTGTTTAAAATAAATTAACTCTTTAAGGCTTACCATGGAACCAGGAGTCCACACCTACTGCTTCCTGTCCCATTATGTCCAGTGCTCGTCCACGGAGGCAAATGTTTATAATTCTTTTAGCTGGTACTGTGGGTCGGATAAAATCTTATGTTTCTGATTTCCTAGGTAGATAGACAGGCAGACACATACACACACGTGTACCTATCTACCTACCTCCGTGCCTGCCTGCCCACCTACACGTTACCAGCAGAGCAGCTCTGGTGGTCTGGGGGGAGGCCCAGAATTCTGTCTTTTCAGCTCCTGGTCCTACCCCCCACAATCTCCAGGTCACTTCCAGGTAAGGTCAGGGCTCCATAAAGCAGGGTTAGCCCAGCCCTGGGAGCCTGAAATTGGAGCTCTGGTCTTACCTCTTGTGAGAAGAGATCCATCATCCACACACATGGGATGAAGGAGATGGTGGGTGGAGTGGGTGGGGCAGGGGCTTACTTTGTAAGTCACTATGGGTCAGTCTAGAGGAAACAGTCGTGCCCACCTGTGCCTAGACCCACCCCCGGCCCCAGCCTCCCTGCAGGTCTGGGTGGGAAAGAGTGTCTCAGGGCAGTTTCCCTGGGAAACAGGCTTAGGGAGGGAGATTGGTAAGTAGGCGTTCCCTGGGATTATGCTCAGGATCGCCCCTTGTGGCAAAGGAAGGAAGAGGAAGAAGTCAGACCCGATGCAGTCATAAGAAAGGCCTCAGCCCGTCTCCAGCTGGGCTAGTCCTTGAAAGGGGTCTGGGCCTCATATTTACTCCCTCCTCCCCCAGCCCCAACCTGCCAACCAGCCACTGGAGGTGGGCTGCCCCTGGGCAAGGAGGCTCTCTTCAGCTGGGGACAACTCTTGGGGGAGAGGGACTCAGCTGATTATTTCCTGCTGCTAACACCCCCCTAGAGCTGAGAGAACGAGTCTTCAGTCCCGGCTATGGCGAGGTGGGGCACTGGGGACAGGAATCTGGGCACACACTGCAGTGTCCATTAAAGAGAGAATCATGGAAACTCAGTACCCAGGGTTCACCCTACTCCTTGACCCCCAGTGTTCCCAACGATGGGTTCTCCAGGCTGTGTGTGCAACACGGAGGCTCCCCATCCGCAGCAGCTGGCATCTGCCTGTGAGTGGGAACTTCCTGCTGGGCTGAGTCGACTCCCTGAAGTCAACCAGCCCGTCCAGTTCTGCCTCCAGCCCCTGCACAGACTACACGGAGCGTCTCTCAGAGCATCTGTGTGCTGCCAGTCTTCTGTGCTGCAGTCTGAGTACTCCTGCAGCCTCCCACGACTTATTTTATGACAGCGTTAAATCCCTTCACCATTCTTATCTTTTTACTTATTTTTATTGTTGAAAGTATTACAGATGTCTCCCATTTTTCCCCATTGACCCCTTCCTTCCCACTCCCACACCCCTTCTGCTTTCTCCAACCCAGAGTCTGTGTTCTTCTCTCTTTATTAGTGAGCATTTCCAAGGTAGGTTGTGTGGAGTAAAATTCCACACTCCAGGGCTGGCCTAATAGAGAGGACAATGACACTCACACTTCTCATGTATCAGCTCTTTATTTCCATTAATGTGACTTAGACTCTGGACCCAAAAAAAGGTGATGCTCTGGAGTGTTGGTCAAGGTTTTTGGGGAATACAGATAGAGTCAGAATGCCCCCATCACTCATCAGCACATTGGATGAGCTTGGTCCCTGTGCCAACACCTGAGCGGCTGGCTCTGGCGGACAGTCTGAGAGTCTGACCATGGCCCCTGTACTGTCAGGCTGCTGACTCCCCTGTAACGGGGGGAGGGTGTGTGCCACGGTACTGCTGCCACACGTGTCTTGCGGTGTTAGTTCTAATAGACTGAGTGCCTTGGGGGGAGGCACCATGTTTCACGGGTCCACAGGCCCAGCGTCTGGCACAGGCCTAGCCCAGAACAGCACTCTGGTGGTGGTGCTGGATGACTCCCCTGTCCCAGGGCAAGTTCACCGCCACAGCCAGAGGTCAGTGGGTCAGACACAGGATGCTCGTTTCCACGTCGAGGCCTGCCAACTAATCTGTGCTGAGGCGCCCGTAGGTGGAGCATCTGTGGGTGAAGCTCCCGTGGAGCTCCCGTGGGTGGAGCACCTGTGGGTGGAGCTCCCGTGGGTGGAGCTCCCGTGGGTGGAGCTCCGTGGGTGGAGCTCCGTGGGATCTCGTCCCTGCCAGCACTTCCGGCCTCATCTCACACTGCTACCCTTCCCACCTGCTCTGCTCTGGCCATACAGGTCGTTCTTCCATTTCACAATGTTCCCACCATCGGTCTCCTCTGCTGGGACCCTGCCATCCGCTCCATCTCCGCATCCCCAGCCTCCCTCTCTCAACCCAGCCCCGTAGCAAGCTCTTGGGATCCTGGAGATCAAAGCTCACCTTTGAGAGAAACCCACCTCCTTGCTCAGCACTCTGTCGTAAACGCCCCCCCCCCCTTAATTTTCTACTCCTCCGTTCCTTAGAATAACATTAGTATTATTGTTATTTTCTGGCTCCCACTACACTTATTTCATTGATATATTTGTGCTACCCCGAACAGACCCTTAATTGTTAAAGGGACGGATGGTGACATGCTTTCTTTGCCACAGATGGCCGACCTGCACGCGGTCCCCAGGGGCATGTATGATGGGCCGGTGTTTGACCTGACCACTACGCCCAAGGGGGGCACCCCCGCGGGCTCCACCCGGGGCTCTCCCACGCGGCCGAACCCGCCTGTGAGGAACCTGCATCAGTCGGGATTTAGCCTGTCGGGTGAGTCAGAAAAGCTCATGGTGACAGTAATGAGAAAGAAAGGGAAAGAGGGGAAAGGGGACTCAGAGCTCCAAGCTAACGGGGATCCTGGGAGCTGACCCAGCCAGCCTTTCAGGGAACAGGTTAGTGGGGAGGAGGGATGCTTTGCTGAATCAAAAAGTCCTGCTGAAACCACAAGATAAGGCTCAGTCAGGCTAAAGGTCAGGCTTAAATAATGACCGGTCCTGCTCTGAGCTCACACCTGGTGGGGTGGCGGCTGGATGAATGTCCAGTGATTTCCTACATCGGACTGTGGGAGCCCCATGTCTAGGCGAAAAGTCAGCTCTGATTATTTTTATGCTCAAATTGCAATAGCTTCTTCCAGCCTGGGATGTGTATCCTAGTCTTCCCTTGCCCCTGATAGTAGTCAAGCTAACAACAGCCACTCGTGACTGGGCATGTGCCGTGGGGTGGCCGTCTCATGATCTAACCTCTACCTGATATGAATAGGAAATAGTGATTCAATTACTCCATAGCCAGTAGTCTTAAAAAAAAAAACTACGGGAAAAATAAATGTCGGCTTGCTGCTCTCTGAACAATCTGAATGAGAGCGAAGCAAGACAACACGGAGGGACGGAGACGTGTGCAGAGGAAACACAGGAGGAGTAAGGAAGGGGAGCAACAGGACAGGGGGGAGGAAAAGAGCTGAGGGGGCACCGGTAGGGGAGGAGACAAAAGAAAAAAAGCTAGAAGCTTTCAGGTGACTTGGCCAGAAGTCATACTATGCTCTTTGCTCCTGCATAAGAGCATTTCTGCCATTTTCTGTTGCTCCCTGGCTCCCGTCATCCCTAAGCTTTCCTGGCTCCTGAATGGACACAGGGGCTCATTGATTGTCCCTTTTGTGCTGTGGCTGCAGGGGCCCGGCCATGACCACTCCCAGTTGTGACCTTGGGCGCGTCACCTGGCCCCTCACAGCCTCCATCACCTCCTCTTCTAATGGGATAATGACAGTACCTTTCTGCCAGGATATCGGGGAGCGCTGAGTGAGATCCCCCGAGACACACGTAAAACATGGCTTGTCACAGTGAATGGGAGCAGCTGTTTTTTATAATATCCCCATTGTTGTTTTATCTTCATTGTTATGACGCAGACATCTAGATATTCCCTGGCGGAGGGTGATTTTCAGGAGGGTGGGTATGAAAAGTGGGGAATGCCTGACAGACTGGAATGGAAGTTTCTTGGGAGATGAGGCCGGGAAGACATGTCGTGTCTTACACTCTGAAAATTAATCTGGTTTCTCTCTTGTCCACTCCCCACCCCCTCCCTTTCTCTCCCCCGGAATTCATTGCCAACTGCAGGCACCCAAGTGGATGAAGGGGTCCGCTCGGCCAGCAAGCGCATCGTGGCGCCCCCTGGGGGCCGTTCTAACATCACATCCCTGAGTTAAGCAGCCCCTCATCCAAGAGAGGGGCAGAAGCAAGAAGCGATTCTTTGAAGCCAAAATGGTACACCGATATTTAAGAAGGAAAGCGAATCCAAACAGTTACGATCTAAAGAATCAATAAGCCTCAAGCCTTATGTTTCTCCAATGTTACGCTCGCTTGCCTAGCTTTACGCGTATTGCTTTGTTTATGCCTAGCCTTGATTTGGTTGACCCCTCCCCCCATTTACATGCATGCAATCAGACAGGCCACTAAGGTGAAGAGTCTGCTATATAGTGTTGAGAGCGTGTGTAGTGCTGCATCTTAAGACAAGGGGACAGACAAAGCTGGATGTCAGGAAAAGGAACAGAGGAGACAGTTATTTGGGGTGAGGGGGTGGTGAGAGCCCAGAGCAAAGTGGGGGGCTTGGAGGGCTGGGGTAGGGTGTGTGCGGGGGGAGGGGTGGGTGGGTGAACATAAGGGGTCTTGTGTATTGTGTTAATGAAGTACATTTCTTTCCATGGAAGACGGCCCCTGGGGCCCGCGTCACTTCATCACGGTCCCCTGGGGTCCGCGGAGCAGTCAGGCAGGCAGTCTTCTGGTTCCGGACTTTGTCACGTCCTCCCTTAGTAGATTTTATTTCTTTGAGCATTTTATTAAAATACCAAAACCCAACCGTTGCTTTCACGTGGTCCTGACGCTGTTGGATCGCACCTCTTTCTCGGCGTTGCTTTCAAAGTCTTCTCTTCTCCTGGGTGGGAAGGAGGAGAGGAGGGAGGAAAGGTACTTTTGTTGTCCTGCCAGCCTCTTTGGTGCTCTTAAAAGGTGACAGCTGGGAGCACAGCATGGGCCCCGGGGAGGGGCAGCCACGCTTAAAGAGCAGCTCCCTCTAAGGAGGAGGCAGAGACCACCTCACCCTCCGGTCTTTGCACACCGAGAGGGGCAGCCTGCCTCTGGCATCTTGAGTGAAGGGCTTATCTTCCCAGTGGAGTGTTTGATTCTCTTGATCTCCCAAGACCCAGGCACAGTCATGATCGAATGGGTTTTTTGTTGTTGTTGACAACTGAATTTCTTAGGTGTAACGTAACTTTTACCACTGATAGGCCATCTCAGCATCCAGGAGAGTCAGGCAGGGGTTTGGGAAGGCCGGTCTGGAGCAGAGAGAGCACGTGGCCATGGTTCTGGTTGTCAATCCTAAACCATTGGTGTCCCTGTCCATCAGTCCATAGCACAGCCTTTGGGGAGCTTGTGTTTGGTACGCACACCTCCCAAGGCGGGGGGCTGTGACAGGCAGCCTTCTGATTGGCACTTAAAGCAAAGGAAGTTAGCAGGGAGGGTTTGTGCCTGCTTGTCCATCAGAGCTGAAGGTCCACCTCCCCGTCCTGCCCCCTCCACAACTCAGTTTTGGGACAAGATCTACAAGCCAAACGAGATCTGGAGAAATAAGAAGCCCACTTGCAGGAAAAAATGCATTTAACCTGGGACCAGACTTCCGTGCTGGGGGACCCAGCTGGTAGAACTCGTAACCCTGTGTCCTAAGGATGTTGAGGGGAACAGACCTCATATACCTTTCAGGTGCTTGGGAGAAACCATGGTCTCTAACTGCTGGTTTTAAGTTGAAGGTCAGAGGAAAAGATACATGGCTGGAGAGGCATTTGGAAATCATCAAGGAAGAGGATTTCCCCCAGCAAAGTTCATTTCTGTTTTCATCATGAGAAAGATGATTTCCTCTTAAAAGTAGGAGTCTTGCTACTTTTAAGGCTTTTTCATGGTGCCTTTATTATAAGGAAACGTAAGTGAATGGAAGGATGTAGCTCTTGGTTTATAACTCAACGATATGGGCGCCTAATGCAAACTCGGAGTGACCGTTTTGCAGACAGGGAACTTGTCCTATCAAAAGCATATACAGTATACCTCATTGGCTGGGCTGGAATTTAGGATACGCTGCAGTACCAGCCACAACCACCAGATGGGGAAAGAGACGCGTAAATAACTAGTGGGAGCGTCCCCTTGAGTACCTTCGGCTGCTGCTACCAACCAGCCTTGTGAGCCCAGCTCATCCCCTCATGACCTCTCTGTGCCGTGAAAATCAATCTTTCATGGCCCAGTTGGCTGCACTCGGGACTTCTGAATGAAACATTCAACCAGAACTTGATATTCTGCACAAGCTTTCCATGCTGTGGGAACAGCCCCTTCCTCCTTTCTTTGCTGACTATTAGTAACTTTCCAAGCATAGACATTCTTGGGAATTCCAAGAACACTCCCACTGCTGACTTGGATTTCTGGTTCCCTGTTACTTAAGTTAAACTTTATATTCAAGTTTGCCCTGCTCCAAAACACACATCACAGAGCCCTGTACACGGCGTTAGGAAGAGATCGTGACAGACAGTGGGGACACCCAGAATTCACGGGTGTTGCTTCTAGCCGTGGGAGGGCTGGCAGGGGTCGTCTGTCTTCCCCCCAAGCTTTCTTTAGCTGTCTGATGTCTTGGCCTGGCCCCTCTCTAAGGACACCCCACCTCCTCCCCTACCCCCAACCTTCCCACATCGTCCCTAGACCCAGATGTCAATCGGTGAGGGCTCTGTCTGGGGGGGCCCCAATCTTGGGTACGTGAGACAGTTATCTGTGAAACTGTTATATCAGTCACCCCAGCAGAGATACTTCTGTTTCTAAGTTTTCTAAAAACGGCAGGGTTGTAGTCATCTCAAAAATGGGTTTTCTTCAAAGTCCAGTCATCCTTTGGCCTTTTCCTTTGTGACTACACCCAGAAGGCCACACTCTGCTCCCAAGGGCCTCGGCCTGGACTATACTCACCCCGAATAGCCCTTCCCACCAGGGTGATGAATGACACGAGCTCCCCAGCCCTTCTCCCCCGGAAAAGTCTAGCTGGAGCCGCCGATACGCAGATGGGCTGCGCCGGGCGGCCAGCGGTCATTGTCCAGTGGTGTGTGGGTGTTCAGTTCTGTGTCTGGTGACTATGGACGCGCAGTCTCCCCGTGACCCGTGGTAGCTGTGAGGCGGCTCTGGAATGTGAAGAGCTGTTTGGTTTGAACCGTGAAGAAAACTGTGTTTTGAATTTAGCTGAGATAAAAAAATAATAATAAAAAATAAAAATAAAAAACATCAAGTGACTGTTAATGTAAACCTGGTTATTAAAATAACTATAAAATCACAGATGTCGTGCAGTCTTTTTCTGTGTGTGACATGCCGTTGTACCTGAAGGATTAACACTGGACAGAAAAACTGAATGGTTGGTAAGGGGGGCAGGTCTGATGGGAACAATTATCCGGAGAAAATGTGGGGAGTTCCTGTCTTTCCAGGTGAGGTTGAGCTTTTGTGTGGCTACAGAGCTTAATGACCGTGATGGACAGTTTGGGGAATGATTACATTATTTTTCTCTGGATCATCAAATTTGGTACTGGTGTAAAAGACATTTTTCTTTGGTCGGTTCTTGTTTTGTCAACCCCACCATTTCGTCATAAAGACCTGGACTTAGAGAAAACTCAGACGAAGCATTTCCCAAAGTATATTCTTATATTTTATTTTATTTTTTTAATGTATCTTTATTTTTTAAATTTATTTATTTATTTATTTAATCCTCACCCGAGGATATTTTTCCATTTTTTTGTACAGATAGAGTGGGAGGGAGAGAGAGAGAGAAACATCGATGTGAAGGGACACATCGAGTGGCTGCCACCCGCACGACCAACCAGGGCCGGGGACAAACTGCAACCGAAGTACGTGCCCTTAGCGGGAACCGAACCTGGGTCTCTCCGGACCGCAGGCCGACGCTCTAACCGCTGAGCCAAACTGGCCAGGGCCCAAAGTATATTCTTTAGCAAAGTGGCCCCAAGAAACCCCATGAGCGTTCAGAAGGATTACTAATTATGTCTACTCCCTTGAGAGAGTTAATGCATCATCAAATTCAAAGCTCTGAGAAATCCTGTCTTTCAAAATTCATCCAAAGGTTCCCAAGCTATTTTTTTTTTCTTTAAACTACTCCACATCTGCTAACATCCCACCAAAGCCTTTTGGGGAAACCCTCTTGGATCTTATTACAATTTATGTAGGACATTTTTCATTGCAAACGTTAGGCTAGTGCATGCAAAAAACATCTTGTTTGGTCAAGGATAGGACTGAGAACTTCAGGGGTAGATTTGAGTGCACCCCAGCTGGGTCTGGATCATTGCTGCTCTTCTGTTACGTGTGGAGGGCCTCGTGGGTCTTTGTCGCCCTTGCACAGGGCCGTGCTGACCTCTGCATCGTCCCGAGCACGGATGTTGCTTGTTCTCACCCCTCGTCCTGCTTGCCTTCAGCAGGAGCCTCTTCCCAGGAAAGCTCTTTGCATATGGGAGCAGAACTGGCCATGAGCATCTCGAGGTTTTCCCTGTACCTGCCTCGTCATTTCAGGGGAAGGGGATTCCAGACTGACTGACGGGTCTGGCTCGGGTCACGAGTTTTCACCCGGAAGTTAGTCCTGTGGCCGGCAGACTGGGGCGGACTGGCCACACCTGGTCTCATGCCCAGCCCCTGAGCCCCCTGAACCATGTGGACTCCCACCAACTCAAAGGAAATTGATTTGTGATACCAGAGGAAGAGAGGATGGCTGCTGGGCAGGCAGAAACAGCAGATGGCCCCACTGTGCTCAGGCTGCAGGGCACGGATGCTCTGCTCAGCAAAGTGTCTGTGATTAGCTTGGGGCAGGTGGAGAAGGGGATCGGGGGTCATTTCTGGTGAATTGCTTTTATGTGTGCTGAACCCCTCTTGGTTCAGTGGCCCGATGCGGTCAGGACAGGAGCATAGACGGCGGTGCCTTTTAGCACGGAAGCTCAGAAACCATGCTCACAGCTCCTCTGAGCACATAAAGAATGACTTCAGCTTGAGGTTCAAGGTCTGCTGATTAATAAGCTGTGGCCCAGTGCTGGTTTGTGAGGCTCATTTGGTTGGAGAGTTGACCCGTGCACCGAAAGGTTGCTGGTTCGATTCCGTTCAGGGCACGTACCTGGGTTGCAGGTTCGATCCCCAGTGGGGGCGTGTACAGGAGGCAACTGATTGGTATTTCTGTCATCTCTCTTGCTCTCCTTCCCCTCTCTCTAAAATCACAACATATCCCTGGGTGTGGATGATAAATACATAAATAAGCAAGCAAGCTTTGGCCCATAGTCTCATTTTCTGGCTTGAGCTCAGGACTGGGGAAGCACCTCTCCCTGCGCATGACCGAGGCAGCAGCTGAGCCGTGTGTGGGATTAGGGTGGTTTAAAGGACAATGCTTACAGCGAACTCGCTGCAGGGCTCTAAAAGGGATGGAGCAGTTTTTTTTAAATGTTAGTGAAATTTGCTCACTGAGTGACTGATTTTCACACGTCGGCGGGCTGGAGGTATTCTGGGCTGTGTCACATTGACCGGGTGAGCAGTGAGAACACTAACTAGGAATAACAGAATCCCTCTGGTTTCAAAGAACTTTCTGGAGTGGGCTCTGCCACCCTCAGGCCGTCACTAAGGGAATCCTAGCCATGCACAGGAAGTGAGGGATGAAAGGCCCAAGCAACCTGCAGAAACAACATCGCTGAAGGCTGGCCCTCTGGGGAATCGGAAGAGGTCTGGGTCCTGCCCTGTGCTCAGGTGATTGAACATGACCTGGACCACAGGGCACCCGGCCTGCAGGACTTCAGAGCCCACAAGACGTCCAGGAGCTTCTTCATATCAGGACAAGCCCGGGGAACCGGCTGGCCCGGCTGCCATGCTATTGTGGGTCTGAGAGGTCGGGGAAGGTCCGTTTATTCTTGCCTACAGCAGAAGTTACTTTTAGCTGCAGGAACTCAGGACTGTACTCCCTTCCTGTCCCAGAGTATGGGCCTTGGAACTGCTGCTTTGGTGGATGGAACGGAGCAGGAACAAGATGTTGAAGGTAAGGAAGGCAGAGGGCTAGAAAAAGGTGAATGGGCTGACCATGGACTTAAGGTCATGGTGAAGGGCAAAACCTGGAATTCAGGGTTCCTTAAGGTGTGAGTGCAGTAGGGGTCTAGTTTTTAGTTTTTAATACATGTGGATTAAATCATGTTGCATCTCAATAATAGAAGATCATCTCTAGCACCAGCTTCCCTGGTAAAGGACTTTGCTCATAGCAGGAAATGGAAATAAGAACAGGCGACTTTGGGCACCACACTTCTAGGGAAAGCCATCATGCACGTGCACACACACACGCCATCATACACGCACGCGTGCACACACACACACGGCTGACCAAGAAGAGTCAGTGGTTTACTGTATACAGAAGAGATTTTAATACACAGGCACATTCACGTTATAGATGCTACAGCTGAGCAGACCACGTGTTTCCCGGCCAAGGGCTGCCTGTTCTCAACAGCACAGCTAACTGACATTTAGAGGTGTAACATCAATATTGACTGCCAGACACCCGGAGCTTGTAAGAGCAGTGATCACAGGCAGACAGAGTAGGAAACGGGATTTTGTGTAGACATAAAGCAAGGACTAGTGGGTACTGAACAAACCTGCTTTGTTTCATTCAGCTTTGGAAGGACTGAAGCCTTGGGTTACCGCGTCGGCCCAAAGCAGCTGGCCCCTGCTAACTAGTATCATCCTTTCTCCAGTTCTTTATTTGTACGTTCCATCTAAACAGCCTATGATGGTCTAAAGTCTAGTCATTTCTGGTTAAAACTTCCCTATCAGAAGAAGCCTAACCACTAATCAATTTAATTATCCGGATTAATTTAGCAATGCTCTGTGCTGCTTGACATTCATTCCGGCCCAAGCGTTGTGTGTTGGCCATTTAGCAGAGCATTTGCTGCCAAGTTAGGGCTGTGGCCAGGGTCACAGGGCTCCGCTGCCCCGCCCATCCACTAGAGGTCGCTTTGCATTCAACGGGGCGGGTGGCCAGCTGCAGTACCAGAGTGTTATAACCAGGAGGCTTCTGGTCTTTAAAACCTGCTCAGACTTTTTAGATGCTCCACACAGGTAGGGGAGGAAGCTGCTCGGAGGAAAGGAATACCAGACAGAAAAATGCAACAGTCACCCTGTTTTCTAATATTCTCAGCCCTGAGCCTTGGTCATCACAAATCTAGATGAGACATGTTCCACAGTGGTGGGATAGTGACTTTTAGCCCAAGTTATGGGGGAGGGGAAGGGCAGAGGATCCGATTTCAGTAAGTAGCAATCATGGTAAGGATTCAGGCATCCTTTTATTTTTGGAAAACTTGTTTGTCCTAATGATTAAAAATATCAGTGGAAGATGTTTATAATCAGTCTACCCTGATGGTTGCAAAGCCTTTTCTTCTCTCGCTGAAAGTACATTTCAGGGCTGTGTCCTGACGGACTGGAAACCCGTGTGCCGGCTCTGAGGCTGGGCTCTGGATCAGTGACAGCTCGCTTCCTGAACGCCCATCGTGGTGCTGCGGGCAGGGACGCGGCTCGCTGGGAATAAAACTAGGGATTCAAACCACAGCGACCGCATCGGGTTCCTATCCCATTCTAAATTGTACAGACATGAAGTGGTACCAGTGACTGGCTCCCATCCCAATGGAGACCCTACCAATCCCATTGCTCTCTGCTAAGTGCTTCCCAAAGTCTGCCCTTTGGGTTGATGTACACAGGGTCCTAGCAAGAGGAGGAACCAGTGGCTGGGAGTAAGTCCACAGCACGCCAGGGCTCGAATCAAGACAAATGAAAGATCGAAGTAGGTAAACATGCAGGGGCCCTGACACCCTGGAGCAGAATCTGGTCATCTTGTCAACCCATCCTCCTCTGTGAAATGGAGTCAGGGCAAGTACTTCGAATTTATAGTGTTTGGGGAAAAGCAAAACAGCATAGATGCAGTGTGGACAATGTAGAGACAAGGAGTCAAGCAAGCAGAACAAAGGAGCTGGTTTGGCTTCTCAACAAAAGTATGGTTGCTGCTAACATAGGCAGAGACTGGGGCACAGCTCCGCCAGGAGTCCTGGGCCCACCAGCTTAGGGAGCGGACTACCGTAAACGCTGAGCTCAAGTTCAGCACTGGCCTCTACCCACGCCCAGATGCCCTCGGCAAACGCCCTTCTGGAAACGGCTGGAGCAGCTGGTGGCCGCATCTGTTACCTCTGCCTGTGTCCATCTGGCTGGTTTCCCAGGTGGGCCAGTCTGGTCTCCCCTGTTGCCAGCTTGCCGCCAACTTGGCGAGGCCCATACTCTCCATAAGAAAGGACAAGGTTTAGGCATCGGAGTGGCCGAGAGGTTAAAACAGCCCCCGCCAAGCCTACTTCCTTCTTGATTCCCTAGTCAGTGCCCCTGAAATGGTTCCTCTGCAGAGATCTTCAGGAGAGGGGACATACCATACATGCACATCTCACTTAGGTGAATCAAACTTAGTATTTTACAAATACACAGAAAAAATACAAAGAAAAACAGTGACACATCAATCACACTGTAAGTAGTTAGGTGGTTCTGCCTGCATTCCTGCAGGGAGACGTTCCTTCCCTCCATGACCTTAACCTCGCGGACCCAAGAGCATCCGATGGTGCTAAGCGTAATGCTCCTCTGTGAATGTGTGTATGATGCGTTCAACCTTTTGATTCATCTGCTATCAGCCAAAAATTAAAGCCAGAAACAAAACCAAAACCCCAGACAGTGACTTCTTTCATTGTTGCCTGGTGGGTCGCTGTCCTGGGCTCCATAAGACAAGATACCCACCATCCATTATGGGTAATTTAAGAGCATTGTCTAGGGTACATTTTACTATTGTCCAAATTCACCTCACATTCTAACTGAGACTGTGACTCCCATGTAAGACACGTCACTGTACTACAAGGTGGACATGCTTCCAATGTGACAAAAGTCTTTCCTGATCCTCAGGGCTCTGGTCATCTTCAGAGGACAAGGAGACCTCAAGGATCACGGTCACTAGAAGGCAAGCGGTGTGCTAATAAATATTTAGCAACTGCCTTGGGGGAGGGGGCTGATCTGTAGCGCTGGCCAATTTCCATGGTGCAAAGGCCCCGTCCTCAATATCTGAACCTTCTCAACCTCACATCACTGTGCCGGCCGGGGGAGCAGATGTGCACAGCAGGCTTTGTTCGCCGGGACCCGCTGATGTGGTGCGTGACTCCGGCACAACACTGGAAGGCCCAGGTAACTCCGTGTCATTTTAATCTGGTCCCATTCATTTCTTCCTGACTGAATTTCTTGTCGCTGTTCAATCAGGCTGGGGGACGGTGACTTCTTTATGACGTTTTCTAGCTCTGGAGAGCCTCCCTCAGTCTCCCCCTATGTCCATTTGTCCGTCTATCACAGTGTAATTAGAAGGAGTGGAAAAATAAATCTACATCCAAATAGTCCTTTAGAAATAAAAATCAAGGCTGTCTAGGATAACAGAGTCGCAATGAAAAGGCAGAGTAGAGCTCATCTAGTGGAACCTTCTCATGTTAGAAGAATAAACCGAAGCAGAGAAAGTGGTTAAGTGACTTGCTCAAGGTCACACGGTTCATTAGCGGTGCAGCTAGATCCTAGCAGCCCAGGGAGCTCTGCGGTGTGTCACGTTGCCTCCTTCCAAAGGGAAGGTGTGTGAGGTGTGCGGAGAGGCAGCTCGTCCTGATGGAAGAGGCAGACGTGCCAGCCTGAGGTGCCAGGGAACATCTCATGAAGAAGATGACAGTGTCACAGGTTGTTATTCTGGCTGTTCTCTTCTTGTGGGTCTTTGGTTTGTTCGAAGGCTAGATTTGTCTGTCTTGTATTAAAATCCCCTTTTACTCTTAAAAAAAAAAAAAAGAAAGAAAGAAAGAGGTTTTATTCGCTGAGAAGAGAGAGAGTTAAGCTTTTGAAATGAAAGCATTATGTCCAACAACTCATAAAGAGGTCAGGGAAACCTTAAAAAATTATATATTTTACATGTTTAAGTCCCAATTTTCTGCCCTTCTTGTGACCTGAAATAGGATGCTCATTTATCTAGTATGATCTTTGAAATCTCTTACGGGAAAAAAGGTTCTGGAAATTTCCTAATGTTCTATTATGGATAGGAATCATTTTTGTAATTAGAATTTTTTTTTTATCCTCACCCGAGGACATTCTTTCATTTCTTGTTCAGATAGAGTGGGAGGGAGAAGGAGGGAGGGAGGGGGAGAGAGAGAGAGAGAGAGAGAGAGAGAGAGAGAGAGAGAGAGACATAGACATGAAAGGGACACATTGAGTGGTTGCCACCTGCACGACCAACCAGGACCGGGGACAAACTGCAACCGAGGTACATGCCCTTAGTGGGAACAGAACCCGGGTCTCTCTGGACCGCAGGCCAACGCTCTAACCGCTGAGCCAAACAGGCCAGGGCTGTAATTAGAATTTTAAAAAGTTAAAAATATAGCCAGCCAGTGATGCTCAGTGGTTGAGCATCAACCCATACACCAGAGGTCGCCGGTTCGATTCCCAGTCAGGACACAGGCCCAGGTTGTGGACCCAGTCCCCAGTGGGGGGCATGCAGGAGGCAGCCAATCAATGTTCTCTCTCATCAATGTTCTCTCTCATCAATGTTTCTATCTCTCTCTCCCTCTCCCTTCCTCTCTCTCTAAAATCAATAAAAGCGAAAAATAATTAAAAAATAGATATACATTAAGGCTCTGCCAGTAAAGTCTGGCTGACACACTCGCATTGGCCAAGCGGCTGTCCTCCCAGGAGCTCCATACTTACTTTTCTCTGTTGAAAATGATGAATTCCTTTTGCACAGATTCAAGGTGCTCTTGAAGAAGGCATGTCTTCCGGGTGAACATTGAGGAAAAGTAGAATTAGAGTTAGCAGATCAGTGAGGTCCTCACACAGCCAACAACCCATTGAGGGTCTGTCCCCTGAATGTCCCGCATCAAAGAAGGCATCCTCAAAATAGATGCTATCTCAAAGCTTGTAGCAGGAATGAGACACCAACCAGAATAACAGGAGACCAGATAGGGAAGAAACAGCAAGAGGATGAAATACAACAACACGCTGCTCCCCACAATGAGCCAGCAAGGAAGACTTGGGTTATGATTCATGACCTTGACATCTTGCAGCCACTCAGCCCGAGAAGAAACCATGACTGGGAGGCAGTGGGGACAAAGGTTTATTGAGCTGGTTACTTACCTCTCATCTCCTGGCCCCCATGTGAAAGGTTTGGAGGTTCTACTTGAGATTAATGAATAGCCTAGAAACATCTCGCCCCACTGAATTCTCATCCAGTGTTCCCCTCAACAACTGCTGGTGTTGGTTAACTAGGCACTGGCGGCAGCAAACAGCGGTCTTTATTTGTGACTCTCGCAGATCTGCAGGTCATTTGCTTTGCTGTTTTGCTGTCTGACTTCCACTACCAACAATGACCTGGCCATCACCATGAGCAAACTGAACCTCAAAACAATGATACTCATCGAGCCTAGGAGAGTGTCAGCCCTAGATCCAGCGTTTTATTTTTTTAATCCTCATCCAAGGATATTTTTTTAAAATTGATTTTAGAGAGAGAGAGAAACATCGTGTTCCAGAGAAGCACTGTTTGGTTGCCTCCTGTACTTGTCCCAACTGGGGATCAAACCCACGCAACCTAGGTATGTGCCCTGACCGGGGATCGAACCGCAGCCTTTAGACAACACTCTGGCCAACTGAGCCACCCGGCCAGGACAGATCCAATGTTTTAAAGTACTTCCAATTACTTCTGATGGAAAATATTCTTCTCTAAGGAAGAAATGCCATTCAGTCTTTTTTTGTAAATCTAGGGATTAGGAAATACTTCGCCTTCAAATACTGGAGAGTTTTCCTTTCTTTCCCAAGCAAATGTTTTAAGTGATAGAAGAGGAAACTATAGAAAGGAAAGGAAACTTCAGCGAAGGGGAGCGGGAAACAGAACACAGGAGAGATGAGACTGCTGCTCCTCATTCTTATTCTCAGACGGGCACGGTAGCCCTGAGGGTTTCAGGAGTCATGGGGACAGGAAGCTTCGGGAGGCTTGAGCTGATGGTGCTCCTTGGAGCAGCAGCTTTGCTCCAAGATTTTAGGAAAATGATGTTAACACTAAAATATTACCTAACAATATAAATCTATAAACATATAAAACATTACATGCTATTTTAAAATATATTTACATAATATTTCATTTCTATATTTTATATATGTATATGTTTATATATTTAGGCACATATTACATATGTGTGTATTTACATACATATTACATGCATATATAAATAAATATGTAAGAATATTTTAATATATAAATAAAACACATTTATATAAACATATATACAAATATAAAACATAACATCATAAAAAGCATTTACAAAAAGTCCACAGCTACCATAATACTCAGTGGTAAAAACTAAAATCTTTCTCCCTGGGGTGGGAAAAAAGACAACGATGCTCACTTCCACGGCTGCTGTTCAACACGGTACCGAACTCTAGCCAGAGTGATAAGGCAAGAAAAAGAAATAAAGACATCCAACTGGAAGGAAAAAGCAAAACTATCTCTATTTGGAGATGACACGGATATATATATCTCTGAAGAACCCACAAGAAGCTCCTAGAGCTAATAAATGAGTCCAGCAAAGTTGCCGTGTACAAAGTCAACACAGAAAAATTAGTTGTTTCTATACACCAGTAATTAATGATCCAAAAGGAAATTAAGGCAACAATTCCATTTCCATACTACTCAAAAGAATAAAATTCCTAGGGAAAGTTTACCCAAGGAAGAGAAAGAGTTGTACTCTGAAAAGTAAAAAAAGAAAAAAATTATTGCTGGAAGAAAGTGATGGAAACAACAGATGAGGCTTGGGGTGATAAAGGATTTTGAAAATAAATAGTGGTGGTGGCTATGCAACATCTTCAATATACTTTGTGCCACTGAACTGTACACTTAAAAATGGCAAATTTTAAGTTATACTTATTTTACCAGAATAAAAATGTTAAAAACAAAACAAAAAGATCAAGGGGATGTAGACTTCTCTGATTAGTGATATAAAGGTCTGTTTTTGATCACGGGAAGAGTCACTTCTTGGTGAACGATTCTATGATTCTACGGTTGAGATGAGACCTGGGAGAAGGGGACACAGCTTTTCTCTTTTGTTTGGTATTAGACCCAGTGATCCCACTTCTAGGAATATACCCTAAGAAGCCTGAAACACCAATCAGAAAGAATGTATGTACCCCCATGTTCGTAGCAGCACTATTTACAATAGATAAGATCTGCAAACAGCCCAAGTGTCCATCAGTAGAAGAATGGATAAAAAAGCTGTGGTACATATACACAATGGAGTACTGTGCAGCTGTGAGAAAGAAAGATCTCTTATCCTTTGAGACGACATGGAGGGACCTGGAAAGTATCATCCTAAGCGAAACAAGCCAGAGAAAGACAAGTATGATATGATCTCACTTATTTGTGGAATATAATAAACATAACAGTCTGAGGAATAGGGCAGTCCCAGAGACGTGGAAGTGGGGTACAGACAATCCACAGAAGAGGGGTGAGGGGAGGTAAATCACAGAACTTATATGCATGTACGCATGAACAATGGACATGGACAACAAAGCTGGGGACAGGGCGGGGAGGGAGGGGAAGGGGGAATCAGTGTGGGGAGAGAAACATTTGTAACAAAAATAAATTAATTAAAAAAATAAACATAAAAAAGAAAATATAAACACTATGATATTAAATCAAATGTAAATCACTTAGCTTGTTGTAAAAATTTGTGTTATTCCAGTGTGCACTACACAATATTGCTTGTTTTCTTTAATAAAATAAAAGCATTTTCACTCTCAAAAAAAAAAGCAACAGGCAAAAAGAACAAGGTATGCCTGTCCTTGGATACCTACCCACTGACTATCAGTTTCGGAGTAGTCACCTGGCCTGGGCTTGGCCAATTAGAGCCTCTCCCAGGAAATTGACAATTTAGACTTGAGAGCAGGGAGAAGGTCATAACTGAACCAGGCTCACGACAGACGACCATGTCCACAGTGACACGTTGCTGCTAGGACCCCAGGGCTGCCTGGGTGTCCAGCTTCTCCGTTCATCCGGGCGCTGAGCGGACCCCCCCACAGAAACCCCCAAATGAACGGCGGCCACCCTGAAGGCCCCCGGGAGTTCGGCGGGGGGACCCGCTCACCTGCGAGGAGTCGCATTTCCTCGTCTCCTTCTCCTTCTTCGCCAGCCGCTTCTTTTTCTTGTGAAGAGGTTTGGACTCCAAAATCATTTCTTCAAGCTCAAAGGTGGGGTCGCAATTCAGCCTGCCTTTCTGCAAAGACGACAGCTGGGCTCACCCCGCGGGTCCCTGCGTCATTCCACCCCCCACCCCACCCCCCGAGCGGACGTGCACAGAGACGCGCGTCCCCAGAGGAGCACCCCCGAGGACAGTGAGCCAAGCTTGGACCCTGTATTGCCCGCATTGTTTTGCACCTTCTTTAATTTTATAGTTTATGTTTATAAACTCCCAGTGAGCCTTCCGGGAGTTGGAAGGCAAGCAAATGATGATTAGTTTTTCAAGTTGGGGCTCTGGAGTTCTGTGTCCAAGCCCCTTGTGACGATCGCGTGGACTGGGAGCCACTGTGGCCTGCTCCGAAATGCCCACCGAGACCTCCCCCGTCGGCGTTACTGCGCACCAGGCCCAGGGAGCTGCAGTTCGACAGCGCCCCAGGTGGTTCCGATTCACGTAAAATCAGAGCCCCGCGTGGGGCGTCTCTCGGAGCAGCACGGAGGCTTAATTGTGCTGGGTTAAGTGGTGCGGGGTGTGGACGCAGCAGGACGTGCCCAGCTCTTCCCCCTCCCCCCAGTGCCATGCATCAACCTGGTTCAGGCTGCCCCTGCTGGACCCTGCGGAGTGGCTAGGTAGGTCCTTGACCTCACCCTCTGGTCCCTCCATAAGGCAGCGTTTTCCACCCCAGCACCCTGCCATCTTTCTGAGCACTGTGACCCCTATTCCGGCTTCTACCAGTGGTCTGCAGTAGGCCACAGAGGTTCCCCGGCCAGGGACTGTCCCAGGGGGGACGATTTCCCTTTGGTTCTCAGTCATTACGAATATAAGAGGGATGGGTGGGGGGGATAAATACCTCCCCCAGCCCCAGAGTGTTCAGTCCTTGGACTCCTAGAACCCCACGGATACGAATTCCTACATCTTTAGAATCAGAGAAAGCATTATTATTATTATTATTATTGTTATTATTTTCAGTTAGCAGATTCCTGGAAAGGACTCTGCCAGGTCTGAGGTTTAGTTTCGGTATAGCGTTGAGGAGGTGTGTGGGAATTTATGGTAATGGTAAAACTGGTCCCATCCTCTGTGGTTTCTCTTAAAGTCACAGCCTGCTGATGACCTTCAGGGAGGATGCGTACTGGCAGGATTAGGGCGTCTTTCCAAAGCAGCACGCCCCGGAAAGGGTAGAAGCTAGAACTCCAGCACACAGACCTGGATTTGAATCCCAGCTCGGCCACTTGCCAGCCATGGCACCCTTGGGTGGCCAAGTGACCTGTGTGTGCCTCCGTTTTCTCGTCTGTACAATAGGGATTTGGGCTGTTTCGCACCACTGCTGTGCTGATTCATCTAACGGGAGCCGCGAGTCTCCGGCGTGATGGGGCATATGCACTGGATGAGAGTTACTGTGGGTTTGTTAGGACGGACTCACGTTAGGAATGAAACCTGGAATGAGCCTCTTCTGCAAAACCGCGTCCCAGTTCACGTCGTTCATGTACGGGAAGCTCTGGACGTGAGACAGGCGAGAAAACCGCTGGTCTGGGTCAGGTTCCAGTAGCTGCCAACGGAACAGGAACAGGAAGGTCACCAGGAAGGTCAAACGGGGCACAAAAAATATCACACAAATGCCCTCCAAATGTTTTCTAGTGCAGGATAGAAGGAAATAAGGTCGAGTTTTCCTGCCCTAACCCTATAAGCAAATAGGACAGGTAATGCCCAGTTAGAATGAATTGAAGGTTGGTTTTTGCAAGGTCGGGGGGTGGGAGAGCGTCTTCCCGAGTTCAACATATCTTCCATGGCGAGTTCCACTACTGCTACCCACGGGCAAGTTTGTTCTCTCAGTCTCGGTTTACCCATCTGTAGAAAGGGGATAATAACCGATTTCCTAAGATTGCAGCTGGGATTAAATGAGGCCATGTATATAAAGTGTTTAAAAGACGGTCCGCTCTTATCAGGGGATGAACGTGCATACATTTTTAAAAGTGAAAGTCACTTCCCACGAAAAGTCGTAGATATTTTTGCAATTGACCAACAAATATTGGGGGTGACAGAGAAGCTGTGACTAAGGTTCTGTTATAGTTTCGGGTTTCATGAACTGGGATTAAAGATGTTCCCCTTCACCACTCCGGAGCCAAGAATGGCTCCTCAACCCTGTGGCTCAAATGGGGAATGGCAGTTCCGCCCGAGGACTGTTCTGGAGGTGACAACCTGGGATCTCCAGGGTGGAATTTGGGGGTGAAGAGGGCTGTCTTGGAACTGAGGAAAATTTGCTTATGGAAAATGACTGCCCTATTCACCTTTGACATTACCAATGGCAATGTCCCTGGCAATGTCCCCCAAGACGAAAGACACAGGTTTGAATCCTCAGCCCCCAAAGCTCTTTTCCTTGACTGGCCACCACCTGTGCAGTTTTCTGTCCTGAGAAAAGCCACCCCCATCCTCTTGGGGGGTCTATATTCTTTCTTTCATGTTATCATTCAGCACACACTGTTGAGCTCCTGCCACAACTGTTCTTCATCTTCATGGTGAACACGGGCACCTTGAATTTCTGATGAGCACTGTGGATCTTGTTAATTCAAATTCCAGATTTCACCAACTGTCAGGCTCTGCGTTGGATGCTGAGTCAGATGGTGGACGAGTCAGGCGCAGTCCCTCATGCAGCTTAGGGGACAGTGATCGTCTGCCCAAGAAGCACACACGTGCGATGCATAGTTGCAGATTGTGGGAAACACCATGAAGGGAGATGGTGCTGGGATCTGACCACGGAGGGAGGCTTCTCCAGGGAGTGATATTCCAGCTGAGATCTGAAGCTGCCCGTTTCAAACCATGTAGAAGGGCCAGTTGTTTGTTTGTTTGTTTGTTTTTTCAGGGGTAATAAATCAGGGCCGGGGACAAACTGCAATTGAGGTACGTGCCCTTAGCAGGAACCAAACCCGGGTCTCTCTGGACCACAGGCCGACGCTCTAACCGCTGAGCCAAACTGGCCAGGGCTGTTTGTTTGTTTTAATTTCCAAGCTACTAAAACCAGTATGTGGTGTTCTTGTGCCTGGCTCGTGTGGGACTCCATACCATGTGGAGTTCAACTTGATTTGAACTCAGCGTCACCAAATAGGCCTGTCCCCTGTTCAGTGAGATGAGTCCACTGACCATGTGCTTAGAGGCATCAGTAATATCAAATCGTTAAAAAACATTTTTTTCTAAATGTTTTCTCTCAATTCCTGTACTTGTCATGAACCTGAAGAAAACAATTCATGGACTTGAACCAATCAGTAAATTACACTGACTAGGACTGGTGTAAAGGAGGGAGCTGGAAGAGTTTAGGCGGTGGGACTAGCATGTGCAAAGGGCCTGTGGTGAGAGATTGATATGTGACAGTGAGGAGGGGGAGAGGAAACAGAAGAGAAAACGATTAAAGCAGTTTCTGTGTAGTCAAAAGGAGACAGAAGTCCAAAATAAGGCTCGAGAGGTAGGTAGAGCCTTTATATTATACAAATTATTTTTATCTTTATTCAAAGAATAGTGTGAAACAACAACATTTGCTTTGAACAGATTGCTATGGGGCAGAACGAAGAACAGAATGGAGTGTGTAGACATGCACAGGGGGTCCCTGGCTGCTGTGGCTCAGTTGGTTGGAGTGCTGTTGTGTACACAGAAATATTGTGGGTTCAGTTCCTGGTCAGGGCACATACCTGGGTTTTGAGTTCAGCCCCTGGTTGGGGTTCATATGAGAGGCAGCCGAACGATGTTCTTTCTCCCTCCCTCCCTCTGAAATCCTCAGGTGAGGATTTTAAAACGTGCACATGGACAAACCAGTTGTAAGACTTGATGGCAGTAGGGTCAGGAAGACAGCAGTGGAGATGGAGTGACAGATTCAAAGAACATTCAAAAGGTCGAATTACAGAACGTGGTAATGGAGTGGATGTGACGATGATGAATGATTTCTGGTTTCTGGCGTGCATAAGCGAATGGTTGGAGAGCCCAGTCACTGAGGCAGCTCAGAGAGAGCCTGGGCAATACACAAAGATCAAGAGCTCCGTTTTGGGCACACTGAGTTCAAGGTGTCTTTGGGACAGACAGGAGGACACATCCATTGCCTGAATAAAGCCAAGTGTTTGGAAGCTATTAGCTGCAAAGCCCACTTCGAAAATGTGCATGGTCACTACTGCCTCCAATGTTGTAAGCAGGTCTAACCAGAGAGAGGGCTGCTTTTTGGTCATTTCCTTTTGTCATGCAATCCTCCTTACCTTTTTAAGGAGTGACACCATTTCCTGGGACCAGGCAGAAGGGTAAGTCACAATAGCCATCTCAAACATGTTTGCAATCTCCTTGTTGGAAGTACTGGAGCGAATATGGTATGGTCTCTTAAGGGAGAGAGGAAGGAAGGGTTCGTGTTTATAGGGTAAAAGGAAAAATCATTACTTTGCAAATGTTTCCGAGTTACATTTTCAACCAGGAAAATCTCAGTAGCATTTTCTCATCCCCTCCAGCTGGTTGTCGTGTTGCCAGATCTCCTACTTTAAAAAGAAGGCACCAGAAAATCTATGATTTCTTTTGAAATCTCAGAATTGTTATAAAAGCTGGTAATTCCTCTGGGCCCAGCAAAACATTCCTCGGGGCTAAATCCACCTCTGAGATGCTAATTTAGAACTGTTTCAGAAGGCAACTTATAGACATATTTTCACAAAATATTGGACATGTGCACAGTAAGTTGAAGTTTTAAACAATTGTTATTTAGTTTGATTCTACAAAGATCCAGAGTTGACCATACACCTCTTTTCAATTGTTTGAATTGTAAGGAACACGTTCATGGTAGAAAGTTACCCACAAGACTTCAACCCTATCCCTAATGTCATGAGTCCCTGGTTCTATGGAGTGAGGTGACAGGTTTTATGGCAAGGCAAAAGTATTTTTACTTCTGAGAATCCGGTTCTTCTATAGTTTTTTAAAAAGTGGCTTTGTGACACTTTTCATACCTGTCCACTAGAGGGCAGTCTTTACCTATAGTAATTCTATTTCCTACAGAAATCAATGCTGGGATTTTTCTCTTTTAAGTGAACTGGGAGCTACTAAAAAACAGAGATTATACCACACTCACATTCTCCCATGAGTCCTAGCACCTAGTCGGTGCTCATTACACGTCTGTTGAATGAACAAAATTTCCATGTTGGATTAGCCATCAATAGGACAGCTACTATGGATATGTACATGTATCAAGTGTCTGACCCTTTCAAGATACTTAGTAAATGACTGTGGACTGATGAACTAAATTGGAAGAGATGGGGGAGTTTATTTTTTTTCCTTGTTGTAAATCAGTATTAAAAGGTAATAAAATTAATCCTGGCAGGTTTGGCTCAGCAGTTAGAGCGTCAACCTGCGGTCCAGAGAGACCCGGGTTCGGTTCCCGTACCTTGGTTGCAGTTTGTCCCCGGCCCTGTTTGGGTTGTGCGGGAGGCAGCCACTTGATCGATGTGTCCCTTTCACGTCGATGTCTCTCTCTCTCTTCCTCTCTCTCCTTCCCATGCTATCTGAACAAAAAATGGAAAAATGTCCTCAGGTGAGGATTAAAAAAAAAAAAGTAATGAAATTAAGTATTTGTGCTCTGAAGGCAAAAGAATTTGAGGGCTAAACGAAGTCACTCAATTTGAGTTTCAATTCCTTCATCTGTAAAATGAATCACCTCATGAGACTGTTGGGACAATTAAAAGGCATAAGGCGTGCAAAGTTCTCGATAGAGTGGTTAATAAGATTGGGTACAATATAGGAGAGGTATTTTTATGATTACTGACATGGTGAAAAGGTGGATACAAATGTGAACAGTGACATCCCAAAGGTAGAGAAAGGGTCAACACCACACAGGGCATGTCAATGTCGGTTACTCAGGCAACCACGAAATGCTAGGAGCTGACCCCCTAAAAAGAAGACTAGCCAGACTTTATTTTTTATGCCAGATCTAAAATCACCTGTCGTGTATTTTCTTCCTTCAAGACCAAATAAAAGACCAGAGCTAATTCTGGTCTCAATAGCCATGTAGTGGAAATAACCCATGGAACCCAATATCAGAGAAGTGCTAGGTGTCCTACCACTCTGCCAGTGTTTGCGGGCTGTTTAGTAGCCAAAGGGCACTGCGGGCCACTATGAGATTCATTCCCCATGTGCCATTAAAATTGGGGCAGGTGTGGCTCAAGGGTCCAGGGTTACAGGCGTGGAAACGTTTTCCTGGTGTCCCTCTTTGACTCATTGCTGGTGCTTAGCCTAGTGTTTCTTAGCCATCTGAAATCACAAAATGATTTGATCAATGAGTAATAAACTGACGAATGCCACAAGCAACTGGCTCAAGAGTATTTTCATTTACTTAGAAGGCCCTACGACTGATTTTTAATATATTTTTAAAAATCCTCATGACCTATCAACTCATTAAAAATAGTCATACTGCCTTTGTCTTATACAAAGGCTTATTTTCCTAGTTCTAAATTTTTAAAACCCATGTTAATTCATTTACCAAAGATTTATTGAATGCCAACTACGTCCCAGCACCGCTACTGGGCATCGGGATGAAGAACAAAAAGAACAGACGTGATTTCTGTGTTGGTGGTGCTCACAGTCTCCTTAGGGAAACCACAAATAGCTATACAGACTGTACGCGCACACTTCAATAACTGGAGTTCGTGCTATAAAGAACAATTACAGTGTACATGACAGGACACATCAAACACTTCTAAGGCAGCATGTAAATGAAGAGTCAAACTATAAAGAATGAATAAAGTTGTCCTGGCCACTTTGGCTCAGCGGTTAGGGCGTCAGCCCATGTACTAGAGGATTCGATCCCCAGTTAAGGGCACATACCTGGGTTGCAGGTTCGTTCGATCCCCAGCCTTGGTCACGGTCACGTGGGAGGCAACCAATCAATGTGTCTCTCTCATATGATGTTTCTCTCTTTCTCCCTCCCTCCCTCTCTCCCACTCTATATAAAAATCAATGGAAAAATATTCTTGGGTGAGGATTAATAATAATAAAAAAAAGAATGAACAAAGTGGAAAAGGTGAAATGTAGATGAGAGAAAGAGACGTTTTGTGGTATATTTCAGGAATACACAAAAAAACTGCAGCTAGGAATATACTTAGTGCAAAGCTCTGTGTGTCCCTATGACGAACCAATGCCTACATAAAATACAAACTGGAAAAACCCTGGGCCTTGCCTTTACAGGGACAGTGACAGCTGGGAGACAGAGGACAAAGCAGGTCGATAGCGAGGGGACCCAGTCACCAAGGGGTGACCAAGCTCAGGAACCACGGGGATAGTTTCAAACACGTTTCTCCTTGAGGCACATGTTTTACTGTGAATACGAGTTTGTTATGTGGAGAAATGATTGTTCAGCACAGTGTCTGTGGTTCAGTTGTGATAGTCGTAATTGAACGTTGTGTTCCATTTCTTCCGATTAGCTCTATTTTGCAACATAAGTCCATGCAGCCTCCTTGTGGTCCTTCCCTGGAATGTGTCAGAACTGATTTATAGAGACTTGTTCTCCATTCAATCACTGCACATATAGGCGCCTAGTCAGAGTTAAATATGGTCGCTACTACTGAAGTATGTAGACACATGCTTTGTTTGCCTTTAATTAATTTCCAGTCTCCTAATAGAGAAGAGGAAAAAAACCACAAATATCGATATACCTGGAAAAATTTACAAGGGCAATATATGTGCCAAATGGATTAAATCCTTAAAAGTAAATAAATAAATAAAACATGTATTTCTACAGATGTAGAAATTGCTACATTTTATCTTAAGTGGAAAAAACATCTCAACAGGAAAATTAAGCATATTTTATTTGTGCTGAGCCAACAATAATAATGTATGTATGTATATGTGAAAATAGATTATCCTTGTAAAAACAGAGACGGTTTGGAACTGAGTACAGGCCCCTGCTATTTCTGAAAGGTAGGATTAGAAGGTCAAAGGAGGGTTTAATTTTTTAATTGGGGATATTCTTTGCCATAGTGGATAAGGTTGATTTTACCTTCATTTTTTGGCTTCTTTATATTTTCCAGTAATTTTAAATTTAGAAGGGTCATCAGAAAAACAAAGTGCATGAAGAGACTGACCACCTCAGCTAGAGATCAGAGAAAGCTTCTTCAGCGCAGGGGCCATGCGAATGGCTAGGGTTTGAGTAACAAAGACCTGCAGCCTCCCCCCAGGGACACCTGGGCCGGTCTGCTGGCATGTCCTTTCTCAGAAATGGTGAATATACACTGAGTATCGAGATTCTGAGAGGACTTAAGACACATCCTTAACTGTATTCAAAGTCAATTTAGCGGCTCCCAAACTAATTTGAGTGAGAAAATCAGGGTTTACCTTGGCAAATAGCTTTTATTTTCATTTTCATTTTTTTTTCTTTATTGGTTTTTAGAGAGAGAGGAAGGGAGAGGGAGAGGGAGAGAGATACATCGATGAGAGAGAACATCGATAGGCTGCCTCCTGCATGCACACCCCCCCCACCCCCGGGGATCGGGCCCACAACCTGGGCATGTGCCCTGACCTGGAATCGAACCGGTGACCTCTTGGTGCATGGGTCGATGCTCAACCACTGAACCACACTGGCCTGGAGCAAATAGCTTTATAAGCAAAGGAACATGCAGTCAGCAAAAAAAGCCTAAGGTGCCTGGAGAGAGGAGGAAATCCAAAGAGGCCAAAGAGAATTTATTAGGAGTCAGTGTCATTCAAGTTGAAGCAAGATCTGAAAAGTGAATCTGCTCCCAGAGGGTAGAGAGTGCCAAGTGTTCACATCTGAGGTTGTTTGTGGGTGTTGGGGGAGGTGAGCCACGTGAGGGGGGGTGTGTGTGTAATATGTGCAGCGTTGGCGGCGGCAGCATGTGTGTGTGTGAAAGCTCACGTCTGTGCCTTGGAAGAGTGAACCACACCCGTGCTCTCTGCAGCACATCCGCAAAGGCACAGTCACAGCCCAAGTGGCCACAGCAGAGCAGGGTGAAGAAACTGGGAGAGATGCAGGGCGGGCAGAGGAGGCTTACAGTTGCTCGCAGGGAAAAGGATACAGTGATTAATGAACACGGAGGAATAAACTGTTTCACAGCCTCGCAGCTGCAAGCCCTCCCCCTCCCCCCTCCGCCCCACCCCGCGCATGCTCTTTGCGGCCACGTGGATGCACCTTGAAGACGTCATGAGGAAATCATTCAGAGAAAGACTAATGCTGGAGGTTCTCACCTATAATGTGGAACCTAAACAGACCGCAAGAGTCAAATTCATAGAAACAGATAAGAAAAGAGGTTGCCAGGGGCAAGCGGGCAGAGGACGTAGGGAGAGGTTGGTAAAAGGGTACAACCTTTCAGCAATATTATTAATGAAGTCTGAGGACCTAATTTAAAACATGGCAACTAAAGTTAATAACACTGTATATTGTATACATTGAAATTTGCTAAGACAGTAAACTTAAATGTCTCTCTCGTCTATCTATCCATCCATCTATCGATAGAATTTAGCAACCGAATAACTTTTATTCACCTTCTAAAACAAAAAAAAAAATCCGACAATATTGATACATCAGATAGATAACAGAAAACTACTATAGAGGTAAAAAAATATATGGGAGGAATAAAAAATATTTTCTTAGGACAGTTCTTTCTAAGAATTTTCTTAGATTAAGAGATTTTTTTTTTTATCCTCACGTGAGGACATTTTTGCATTTATCTTCAGATAGAGCCGGAGGGGGGGGGGGGAGAGATACATCGATTGGTTGCCACCCACACGACCCAACCAGGGCCAGGGACAAGTCACAACCGAGGTACACGCCCTTAGCGGGAACCTAACCTGGGACTCTCCGGTCCGCAGGCCGGCGCTCTAACCACTGAGCCAAATGGGCCAGAGTGAGATATTTCTTTCAAAAGGACGCTACTGTAATTTGCCACTGAACCCAGAACCCGGGAGCTAAATGGCAGATAGGAATCCAACCTGACAGGCCGTGCATTGTGTTTTAACAATTCACGCTCGCCTCGGGGAAGTGTGTCTGAGTTAGTCTTGTACCATGACTGCAAACAAACAAATCCATTTATACAAGACATTTAGTGAGGCATACTGATCTCCCCTCCCTGGGAGTTTATAATCTCCACATTATTCACTGAATTTTATCTGCGTGATTTAATGTGGAGGCACATGCTTGGTCCCACAGCTACGGGAATGGACGAACGCAGAAACCCAAGAGTTGTCAACAGCATCGCACGGCGAGTCATTCCCACCTCTCAAACAGCTTGATCTTTAGCTCACACACAGATCCATCTTTTCATTCTAAACGTGGAAATTGCTGGAAGAGGGACCAAAGAGAAATGCATTTTACCCGGCCTCGCAGAAGCTCGTACGCGGTCACTCCCAGGGACCACCAGTCAACGGCGAAGGAGTAACCTGCTTCTCTTCTGGAGTCGAACATCTCGGGGGCTGAAAACACAGAAAAGTTAGGTCTGCTTCACTCCCTGAGACATGAACAGATCTATTTTCCCCACTGGGTCCTCCGAAGGCGAAACACCAGGGTAAAGGGTAGAAACACTTATATAGATGTTTATCATCCGTTGCTAGATGGCTCCCAGCAGACAAAATGTCTAATTTTCTAGTCTCAGGAGCCTCATTCATCAACACCACAGGCAGCCACAGGCCTCAGTGGACACGGCCTTCTCTTGTTTAGAACAAGCACCTGTGACAAATCAGACCCCATCAGGCCTCCAGCGTGTGGCTGACCCTGTAACCAAGAAGGCTGCAGTGACGTGTGTGGTCCTGATTCGGCAGTTTGGGCGGTAGGGCAAGTCAGTTGGTGTGACCTGCGTTGGATCGGCGCTCACCTGTAGTCATCTTCAAGAGACAAGGGCAAAGTCTGCATTCTGCCGTCGGGGGTAAGGGAAGGGGGAGCGGTGGGCACTCTGAGAGATACAATGTCTTATATCACCGGGGGGAACTCACACTTTGTGACAGTGGACTCCCATGGAAGACAGAGGTGTAGTCCGTTTTAAGGCCAATACAACCCTCGTTGGGCATTTTCCAAGTATTGGACACAAGGTGAACTTTCTACATTCCACATGCACCTCCAGGACTGTCCCTAACTCCTAGGGGGTAGGGTAGGGAGCAGGAAATGCAAAGCCAGGGAGGTGTCTTATCCGCTTGTCCACAACTATGTTCCTAGTGTCCAGCACTGAGCCCAGCATTTGGTCACTCAAAAGAATGTATTGAATGAACAAACGCTGCTGAATCAATTAATCAAGCAATGGTTGCGATTATTCGCTCTGGAGTTGTGCTGTCAAGTTCAAAACGTGCTTTCGTCGCTTACTGTGACCGTGAGCAACTCTGTTGGCTGAACTTGAGAAGCCTCCCCAGCAAAATCAGATAACAAGGCAGTCAGTCTAGAGGTGAGAAATTAAACGAGATCGTGCATGCCAAAATCTCAGCACAGGGCCTGGCACCTAGAAAGTGCTCCAAAAAGTAGGCACTCTTCTTGTCCTGCCCGGTGGCTCAGTTGGTTGGAGAGCCGTCCTGTACACCAAAGGTTTCTGGTTTGATTCCCGGTCAGGGCACATTCCTAGGTTGTGGGTTTGGTCTCCAGTTGGGGCACATAGGAGAGGCAACCAATCGATGTTTCTTTCTCTCTCCCTCTCTCCTTCCCTCTCCCTCTTTTTATCTTTCCCTTCCTCTCTCTAAAATCAACAAACATATCCTTGGGTGAGGATTTAAAAAAAATAGATACTGTTCTAGAGAGGCAAACATCTATAATAAGGGGAATTTTACCTTGCTAGGAACTATACACACTTGACCCATCTCTGGTAGTGAGGAGCTGGCTCTGGACAAAGTAGTGTTGGGTGTGAGGCTACACACACGGGCTGCCCTGCCCAGTGCACTCAGTTCCAGGGAAAACCGTGCCGACAACATCCCACTAGAGGTGAATGCTGACATCCGATGCCCAGGACTGGGCAGGCCTCCTTCCCTACTGGATCAACCTCTCACGCATCACCACATCCTTTCCGTAAGTCACAGGTCCCTGTGCAATTTGGGAGGGAATGGCCCTGACCCCAAGGCCCCACAGACTGGATGGAATGGACAATGGTTCTGTGTTCCCTTCTCAGTGTCTCACAAGTCATCTCAGACAGTGCCCCAGGGTGACAGACATCTCACTTAGAGAAGCTGCCGAAACCTTTGAGGGATACACAGACTACGGTGCTGAGAAAATACCTATCAGAAAACACATTCCTCTAGAAAAGCTGTGAATTCTGTCATCTGGGATCCTCCTTGGAGTTTAGATGAACATCTTTTTTCTTTTCTTTTCTACTTACTCTGTTTTCCAGCACAAAGACATTTGAATGCGTGCTCATTCATTCAACAAATGTTCACAGTGTGCTAGGCACTGAGGAATTTTGGTAGAACGTGAAGGAAAAACATAGGCCAACATACAAAAGCACAACAGATGGGCAATTATTTGAGCCCCAAAGAGCTGAAAAAGCAGAGCAGAGAGGTGACAAGGGGCTGTTGTCCCCGAGAAGGTGCAGATAGAGGGGGAGAAGGGCGGGGCTTCCTTCAAAAAGCCATTGGGTATTTTGTTTGGTTTTTAGAGTATTGCAACTTACATTCAAAAAAGGAAATAAAACATGAAAGAACCACTGAGCAAGTAGCTATAAGCAAATGGCCAGGGGACCATTACACAGGTCACAAAATAGATTCTTGACCCCACCGTCATTCCTGTCGTGTTCACAGCCCTGGAAGTAACCACTCTCTTGAATTTATGCTAGTAATTTTGTTCCCTTTCTACATGGATTTACTGTCTACACCTGCATTGCTAAGCAATACTTCAGTTTTGCTTATATGTTACATATGTGCACATATATATGTACGGGGTGGGCAAAGGTAGGTCTACCCTGGTGCGTACACAAAACACAATAGTTTATTCTTATATTATTTGTTAATTATTGCATTATTTGTATTATAACTGAAAACCTACTTTGCCTATGCCTGTCTAGATGACATGTATAAGCATGTGTGTGTACAGATAACGTGTGTGCATAACATACATGTATGTGTGTATCTATAGCTCATAGACACTAAATCCCCCTGCTTGTTTTCTCTGGTGTCTTGCTTTTCTTGCTCAGGATGATGTGTGGGTTCCTCAGAACTGCTGCACATGGCTTCAGTTCACCCACTTCACTGTTTTACTGTTGTACTGTTACTTACCGGCCTACTCTGATGTTGATAGCTATTTGGATTGTTTGCAACCCGGGAATACTGTGAACAACCCTCTCATGAAAGTCCTGGACAGGTAAGACTTCTGTAAGTCCACTCATCGTTTTTACTTTTATTTTCTTTATTGATTTTAGAGGGGAAGGGAGAGGGAGAGAGAGATAGAAACATCGACGAGAGAGATCATCGATTGGCCGCCTCCTGCATGCCCCCCACTGGGGATCAGGCCACAACCTGGGCATGTGCCCTGACCGGGAATCAAACTGGTGACCTCTTGGTGCATGGGTTGACGCTCAGCCACTGAGCCACACCAGCCGGGCCATCCCCACATCTTCAGGGTACATTCCTGCAAGGGGAACTGCTGGCACAGGCTGTGTATCTTCACATACACTAGATAAAGCCACAATTTACCCAAGTGGTGGTGCCAGTGAGCACAGTGACCAGCGATATAAGACTTCCTTTAGCTCAACATCCTTATCCACACTTGGGATTAACAGAGCGTTTGATTTCTGCTGGTTTTGTGAGTGATTGTCTTTCACTGTGGTTGAAACTGATATTCTCCTGATGACTAATAAGTTTGGCCATATTTTAATATGTTTACTAGCTATTTGGATTTCCATCATTTGGTTTTCAGATTTTAAAACAATTGGAGAGCCCTGGCCGGTTTGGCTGAGTGGTTAGAGCATCAGCCTTCAGACCAGAGAGTCCTGGGTTCGGTTCCTGCTAAGGGCACGTACCTTGGTTGCAGTTTGTCCCCGGCCCCAGTTGGGGTCGTGTGGGTGGCAGCCACTTGATATGTCTCTCTCACATTGATGTTTCTCTCTCTTTCTCTCTCCTCCCTCCCCCTCTCCCTCTTTCCCTCCTGCTCTATCTAAAGATAAATGCAAAAATGTCCTCAGATGAGGTTAAAAAAAAATAATAATAAAAAATAAAACAATTGAAGAGTAGATTCTGGCCAGGATGTAAAGAGAGGAGTCCAGAGGTAATTTAAAACTTTAATGCAATAGAAATAATGGAATTTACAAAAATGATTCTAAATTTCATCTACGAAAAGCATGTGAGTGATGGTTTTCTGAAAAAGCATCAAGGGGTCTGCATCCCATGTAGTAAACACAGCATAAAGCCACAATGATGAACATCTGAAAGCCACAGGATATAGATCCTAGTACATAAATTAGTTTACGGTGACTGTATTTCAAATCAGCATGGGAAAGGTTTACTAAATGATCGTAAAACAATTACTTAATAATCCAACAAAAATGAAGTTGGATCCATACTTCATATCTCCAGTCAAGATAATATACGGCTGAGTTAAGTAAAAGAGAAACTATAACAGCAATAAAAATATTAGGCAGCCATATAGAAGACCTGAAGGTAAGAAGGTCTCGCTAAGAATAGCGTAATAGAAACTATTAAGTAAAAAGACTAATGATTTGATGAAGTTAGAAAAACAGCTCATGTCAAAAATACCATAAGAACAATAGCAACTGAAAAGTAGAAAATCATGTTTATAATACATATGCTACACTAGACTTTAATATTACTAAGATGTAAAGAGCATGCTTTATATAATCATTGAGTAACATCAGAATCTGTAAAAGGGATTAAAACCCTCATAGAAAATGGGCAAAGAACATGAAAGGCAATTTACAAAAGAAGTCAAAGAAGTGCTGTTTTACTATCATAATGAGGTTCCATTTTCACTCCTCTTTTTGAGAAGATTAAGGTATTGTCGTGCAGCCTCAAGTCAACCTCAACTTTCAGGAGAGAAATGTATGAACACATATACCCTCTGATCAGGAATTCTTTGGGAGTTTATCACAAGGAAATCGTTAAGTTGCAGGACGTATTTGTGCTAACAGGGTTTTTATAATGCATTTATATTTCAAAATGAGAAGCAACCCAATGTTCGGTAAAGAAATTGGGTCAAGAAATGTTGATGCAGCCCTCTCTCTTGTATCATGTGACCATTAACAAACAACAGTAATAGAGATGGGCATGGAGAAATAAGGGGTGTTCGTTGTCTGACCCAGCTCTGGAGTCAGGGAAGCGGGTCTCAGTTTTACGGAGGCTAGTTGATAGTCCTGGGCAGGGAGGGAGCACAGTGGTGTTAAGTCAGAGCTGTGATGTCAGACTCCGAGGGCAGTATCCACAGCTCCTGTTGGGCGGAGCTTGACTTCTCAGTCTGCAAGTCTCAAGTGGAAATGACAACAGCATCTGCCTCA